GATAATTATGTACTTCAGGGATGGACTTCAGCGTACCCAGTACGATACACACAGGCCATTCAAAACACTACTCTGACCCGAAAACTACTTACGACATTACAATATTTAAATCGTTAAATTTGATCCGACTGACCTCCCTGTGAGTGGAGGAAGAAATTATTCCGTGGAAAAAGATTGTTTTTGCATAAGTGCCCAGTTTGTCATTCACATTTTCAAAATGAATACATGTTTATTCCTCACTTCCCTAGATTATTACATCTTGTAGATCAGTCATCATTTTATAAGGGAACTGTCGTGAATCATTCGTGTTATGAACCATTTTAATGTTATATACTTCTTGTTAAAATAGCCTCATTGTTACATAAAAATTCAGTTGGTTCGTTACCCTTTTTGATCGTCTAGCTATCAAGTGGTTTTTTTCTCAAAACGATTTTGACTTTGGAAACGTATGAATTGTGTATTATATTAAATAAATGAGTACATCGCCTTAAGCATCCCGTCATTGTGGAATTCAGACAGACAGACAGACAGATTCGGTTTTTTTAGTACAGCCATAATGATCCAATATAGTTTCAAGTGTCGTCGAGTGAGAGTTACAAAGAGTTTACAATATTTTGCATGTTATAAATGCACATAAAAGATATTAAGCAAGTGTAATAATGGGTTCGCAATTATAGATTAAATAATAGATATAATGATGTTGTGGGGAGTAACACATCCCTTGTTGTTATATAATTTATTCATAAACCAACAAACACAGTTATACAAAATGTGGTTTTCATCTTCGGGCACTTCACATATTTAACATAATTCATCAAGGTTTTTTAAACACTTATAATCCTTTCGTGCTTTCTTGATGCCTAAGCTATCACATCTTTTTCTAAATTTGGTTAACATTCTTCTATGAATGAATTATTCTACATGTGATAAATACCACAATAACTTTTCAGTCTAGAATGGATTTACATTAATGATTTGTTGGTTGCTGTATGGCGGAAATAATGCCGATGCGACGTTAAATTTCAACTCGCTCACTAATGATATGTTCGAACACAGAAGACCAGTTAGTCGATATTTCTCAGCTTCATTGCACAATGCAAATCCAACATTGCGCAATGCAAATCCAACATACACTGTGAGCGATCTATGCCTTATTAATGCAAGGAGTCCCAGCGTGCATTGGGAGTAGTGCGTGGTCATAAACAATTTACCACGTGGGAAACTTGGTAGATCCGATTCAAAGAGGCTTCAATATATGATTAAACCTTAGTATTTAGATCCCCCCCAAAACGACTACACCCTTTCCATATTCATTAGAAATATCTGCCAACAGCTGAGTCGGGCGTGCGATGTAGCTACATGTATGGTCACCAGGTTTAGTGATAAATGCCCCATGGATCAAGGCATGGCGTTTCCCGTTAGAAATCGTGCATGCTAGTGGTGTAAAAAGGCGAAAAAGGTTTGGACGTGATATGTGAGGCACTCCATAATATCACAAAATGCTTTGTCAGTAAACGTAATGTTGACAATTGACCGTGTAAAATGTTTCATCAAGTCTGGATTTCCGACTCACCACGCACGTTCAGTTGCTTGTTGGATCGTACTGTGTCTAGTCTATACGTTTCGTCATTTAAGCAGCCTAACATTTTATATTCATTAATTTTCTTTTGAGAGCCTGAGAACCATGACATCTGATGCAGCATCGGGTGGCGGGTGGACGCACTTTGAGGCTCACATTGGCTGTTCGACTCACGATATCACGTATTATCACGATATATCAGCTTAAAGCTGTAGGGAACGTTTCACAGAAAGTAGGCATTTACCCGTGAGGTGAGTGAGAGGGTTAAGTTTCAGCAATATTCCCGTTCTCCGGAAGACGACAGGAATTCCCGACGGAAGACACCAGAAATTGGCGTGACATATTGGACTCAGATCACGTTACCTCCTGGTACAAAGAGTGCTTTACAACGATTTGTCTCCCGTTATATCACCAGAAATCACTTTGTGTTTTGTTTGTTGTTTAAAACCTCACGCAGCAATATCCCTGTAAATATACGAGTGTGGAGCAGACAAACAAGAGACCAGGACGCTTGACAATCAAGAGATTAGGACGCAGGATGCATTGCACTCAGAGTAGACAGGCGTAAATTATATTCAAGCATGATATAAACCGAGTCTGCTCCCAATAATCAAGCAAATCAGACTTTCCTGAAAGGACACGTTAAAATATAGGCATAGCTTAGCATTTGTATTTCCTTTCTAGCTAGAATACACGTCAACCAATGTCAATTTCACCCTTTTGTAATTACATGCCAAGGATAATGTCGGGAAGCTGGCTCCGAACGATGGCGTATCATTGGTAACGTCAATAAAACCATGCACATTTCAATACCCAAGGGATTTTACGGGTTGTTAAATGTTGTGTCGACAATGTATTTATGCTGATTGAAATATTCATCTATCTTCAACAAGCCAAAGCACAAAAAAGTCTTCAGAAAATATTGTGAAATATCACGAGGTAAGAAATCAATTCTTTTGATTGAACCAAACACTTCCATATGCCATCTTAAGAAGGTGAATTTGTCAGTATCAAGTTGGCGATTAATTTGTGTGTGATCTTCATAACGTGACAGACCAGATTGACACGAGTATACATGACAACGTGATACTAGTATATAGTTTGTCATACAGACTCTGAAACAAAAGTATCCGATGCAGCCCATGCAAGTCTAGATTACTGTAAAGTATGCTCATTTCAGAGACAAGATGTAAGTCTAAGTGATACATTCAACACCAGAAATATTCACGTCTATATGTCTACTAGAGTACACACATAATCAGGTCATTTCTTATACATGTCATGTAGCCTGCGTTTATTGTGACAACACACCAAATGATGGCGGACGTACTGATCACGGATGCCAAGGGATACCAACCTAAACAAGTCAGACAGAAACATGTCTGTCTGAGGTTGCAAAACACGTTCAGGTATCTATGGAATCCTTGAAAGGACATTGTCGCGTTTCCACACTTACACAATGCGACAACGCGACAGTTTGAAAATTTGACGCATTATCGTGCTTTGAATAATATGTTTTCACTTTAACCAAAGAGCCACAATACGGCAACGTGACATTTTCAATGTCTCGTTGTTGCGTTGTCGCCCCATCTAATGTGTGTAAAAGATGCGCATGTGTAGTAAGTGAATTAATCTACGCATGGTCATACCTAAAACACGCCCTAAAGCTTGTTAGTGAATGTCTGCATCTTAAAAGTGTACAAATCAGACTGAATTATATTCCAAAAAAGAAACGCATAACCAAACTGATTGTGTCAGAAGTTACACGCATTTACTGCACACATGCAAACAGCGTATCAGTAGGTACTTTTCCACACGAAGACAATCCCCGGAAAATGACACATGTAAATGAAATGAGCATTTGTGTAACAACCATTACTACCAAGAGCTGCTGCCCATTGATTAAACGAGAGTACTGATCACACTTTCAGTCTGTAAATGAAGTTGATACCAGTACAAACAAAAGTCTTGAGATCGTGCCCAACTTCACATATCGTTTACATGCTAATGCCTTTCAGATATTGATATCAATATCACCTTTGCGTCTTAATCTCTCAGCTTACATTAATATTGACGAATGTATTTAGGCCCCCCGACACAGTTTATACTCTCCAAAACGGATGGGAAAATAACAGATAATGACAGAAATACAAAGAGGTATCGAATGATCATAATGGATTGATGCGAATCGTAATCCATAATCTTTGTTTTTGACGAATGCGCCTAGGGATCGAACTCAGTCACAAAAATTATAAGTGCGCATACATAGGTGACGTCTACGAGCTAAGTCTGAAGGTTAAAAGGTCGTGAGTTATCTGAAGTTTGATGACATGGTGTGTCAGCTTGATGTGCCTGGAAAGCGAGAGGTGGTGTACATTATTTTCTCTTTATTTGACTCCCTTAAACGCCAGATACGCTTTATGCACGTAATCCTCTCACTTACGGTATAATCTTTGCATTAAACGCTGGTGGCAAAGAGTATCTGAAAGAAATACGGGCGTTTCATCGAGGAAATACGTTAGACCCAAACCAAGAAAAAGATAATCGTGAATTCGAACCTACGGTCATAGAATTCGGTCACGCCTTTGGTACCACAATCTGAACAGCGTATTCTTCGATTTGAGAAAACGAACGAGTTTGGTTTAACGCCGCTTTGAACAATATCTCAGTTATTTCACGTATTAGTTTTATGCCCTGGGAAGCCCTAAGTGATGCATGTCTATGGTGCGGGGATTCGAACCCACGATCATAGTTTTCTGGTGGGTCTATGAGACGCAACTCTGCACAGCGAACTCCACCATTCCAAACGAATGGGTCAGGCATGTCCCCTCGTCGATTCAAAAAGATGTAAGAGACCGGAATTTCTTGTTGCAGAAACACGTTTGGTTCTCAAAAAACGACACCTTCAACCAGTTTTTGCGCATAGGTAGATTAATTCACTTTCTACACATGCGCACCATTAATCGACAAAAGGGCGACAATGCGATATTATCAATTTATCCGAATTTACCTTACCTTGTAGCGCATTTAACGCCTTTTTTACTCATTTTAAATGTTCTAAATCATGTTTTTAAATGTGACGACAATGTGACATCTTTTGACCTTAAAAGACGTTACGTTACGTAAGTAAAAAATAATATTAAAAGCCCGACAATGCAACAACGTCACATTTCGAAAAATGCTAAAAATGAAATTTTACACTTTTTGCTTATTTTGAAAGGCGAGACGCGACAATTTCCCTTCCAGGATTCCATAGGTATCTAACTGTGTTCTGTGCATTTAATCAGGCGTGTACATATACATTGTCTCCAATTGATTATTTAAATAGTTTCTTTACTGACAGGCATCCATGTCGGCTTTGATGTTCCTCAATTGGGTGCATGCAGTCAGTAACAGCTGGAGCTGAAGATAAATCAACACAGGCGTCACTGTGGCGAAACTGATATGTTAGATCAATAAGAAGCTCTGGGCATGAGCATTAACACTAACATACGCTAATGGACGCTACACAACGTTCCGTAACATGTGTTGTATTTTTGTAAATCCGGGTTTGACACAAGGCTGGACCTTAGGGTAAAGGTTGACTTCCTGTTTTAGTCGACCGGTTCGAAAGACGTTTTCAGCTTGCATCCAGAGGTACATCCTCAGAAACAAACGCCTTTATGATGTCTTGGATTTGTACCTTGCAGCTGATCATCTTAATGATGTACACATCCTCGCACGTTTGGACACTGTCTCTGGGTGAGTTCAGTTCATCATGCTACTATAATGTATATATATATATTTTGATTCACACGTATTGTGTATTTAGATCTGTTGAATTGGTAAAGTGCATCGTAACTTTTTTCACTTTTTTCAACTACCATTGTACATACGCAACCATAGAAACGTATCATAGTATTCGACAAACATAACCCCCTGCAAATCAAATTCACTTATTATTCTGATGTATCCTTTCACTGTAACCAACCTACAGTTTTAACAATATCATAAACAGTCTACTTAATGGTTCTGTCCATGAAAATATGACAACATGATATGATGATGATGGTAGTGATTGATTATTTTATAATATTGAGAAATGTGATGAAATAGAGAAGACAAGTAGCGTCGACCGTTATGAATAATTGAAGCGGATCAATTAATTGTATGGTTACATAAAGAAAAATGATCGATGCTTTTACTACATTCTATCATGTAATCAATATGCTTTAAATTTGTAACCAGATATAATCCTGAACATCAAGGAGTATGATAAATGCCCATATCCTGTGGTGTGCCATAGAAATGTCTCAGTCAAAAACCAGTTAAGCGTGACCAATTGGCTGGTCTCTGATGGTGAGCAATTTGCTGCGTCGAAGACAGGTAACATTTGCTACGTATATAGAAATCTCATTACATTATGGCCTGGAGCTGATAATTTCGTTCTTACTTTCTTTTGATGTATTTTAAATGTAATTAGTTTTTATATAGTGTTTTGTTTTGTTGTTTCTTGGGTATTTTTACTGTGTGGTCAGGAGGGGGCGGGGAAGGGTAAGGGGAGAGACAAATATTATTTTGTCAGTATTTCATGATGTGTTAAGAATCCCTAAATCCGTCTGATTGTAATGTATTTTACCGAAATCATAATAACCCCTGCAAACACAGATCCAAAGGTATAAACGCTATGAGTTTGATGATGGCTTCAACAACTTAAATTCTAGTTATTTTGATACTTTACTCCCAGTGACACAGTTTCAAAAATACTGTGTTTCGAGTTTCAGTGAGATCGGTACATGGGGATGTGGTTGTCCTGGCGGCTCTCACTTCCTGTCAGCGTCACTTCAGTCCCTCCTCCCACAGGGATGACCTCAACATCAGCCTCTGCTCCGTGGTGTGCCCCGACTTCCTATCCAGCCATACAATATATATTCAATCAGTGTTCAATGACACAAATAAAGAGCAGTCCTACTTTAATGCCCTTGTCAGACGCAATTCTATGGAGGTTGTCATTGGAGGCATTAACTTGATACTCGATCATGTGAAGTGGAAGACGTTCGTTGTTATAACTTCATATGACGAAGGTGGGATATAGGAACACTCTGTATTATTCGAAATCCTAATGACAGTGATTTAGGAGCATGGACGCAAAATATATCGTATTCCCTAAAAGCATCATATCAACGAAAGCCTAATGGAGCCACTTTGCTAGCTTTTTTTTAATTCGAAATATATTTATATTTTATTTATTTTCTTGGAATTTCGAGGTTTTTCTCGTTACTTCGTGGGGTTTTTTCGTTACTGCAATTATTTTCGCTATATTTCAGATATATCTCAAAACTCGGAATTTCATAAAATAATGCTACCAAAGTGCGTATAGATATATTATCATAACAGTACGAGATACTTTAACTTTGATTATAACCTAAACTGCAGGGAACTCAGAACGATGTCCTGCAAACCGTTTCCATTTTCACAACAATATATTGCGCAGCTTATGTCATTTATTACAATAACAGGAACCGGAACAAATGAACATGATGGTGATGATGATGAGACAGAATTCCAAATTTCGATAAAATAACTGAAAAAACAAGAAATTTCAATCAGTTAAAATGAATTAATGCGTCCAATGTGGCACCATTAGGCCCTGTATATATCTCGCAATTGCAATGGTCAATGATGGATATCATATACAAAAATATCATATATTATTGATATGACGAATCTGCAAATGCCTTTCACTAAAGCTACACGAGTGATAAGACGATCGTAACCGACATACTTTAACACCGAGCTAGGCTGTCTTTTGCAGGGTGTCCTATTTCACTAAAGCCAACATTCACAATCTGCATCTATCACCACTGTCATTAGTTTCTCGCCTAAAGTAATTATGTTTGGTGATATCCATTCCTTCACTGAAAGTCTATTCCCTTGGATCCGAAGCTGAACATAAATTATTATACAATACAAACAGTACAGTAACCAAGTGAAAGTTATCCGCATACATTACGGCGAAGATATGTTTAATCAAGTAACTGACTTTCCCACCAGCACATTATCAGTAAAGAAAGCTAAATCTGATAAAATACCTACACAATAACGTTCTTTGCAGTTATGACAGCACTATCTGGAGGAAGATTCGCTTCTCCCAAGTTACTGCTATACATGATAGATGATCCTAACAATCCACTTGTAAGTATTGACCTCGCCAGCGTCTACCAGTTGCTTACCGACAAGGACCTGAAACTTCTTGTGATGTGTCCCTCCGATTGTATACAGAAACTCCTCTGTCAGGTAATGTATGTTTCAAGTTCACCAAAAATAACTACATTATTTTCTACATGGTGTGAGTTCGTTCCTGGAAACTGTTTCACGTTTCACAATAATATACTGAGTTTATGTCTGTGTATATTACAATAACAATACCAGATAATACTGAGTTCATATCTGTGTATATTGCAATAACAGTATGAGATGATACTGAGTTCATATCTGTGTATATTACAATAACAGTACGAGATAGTACTGAGTTCATATCTATGTATATTACAATAACAGTATGAGAAGATAATTTCACTTTGACAGAACGTTGTTCTACAAACTGTTTCCAATGTAACAACATACTGCGTTCCTCAGGTCATTTATTAAAATAGCAGGAACCGAAACAAATTAAATTAACCGGTAATATATAGTGCAGGACATACATAGTTCCTGTAACCAGTTTCAAGCTTCAAGATAAATTAATTTGTGCACTGCGTCATTTGAAACAAAAATGATTGAAGCTTTACTCCTGTTTTACCCCGTTCTGGCAGGACAGGACATGCTTACCCTTTCCGCGAACATCTCGTGTCATCACTGATTTTCAATGGTCCATTTATATAATTTTTACTGTTATTTTGCTTTAAGAATCTGTTTCGGTGGATAACCTAGAGTGGTGTTTCTCATGCATTGACAATTCATAATTCAGTCATATGTATATGTTCTATTCCGCAAATCTTTGTACAATAATTTGAATTAGACACAAGGGCAATGGGCATATTTCAATGAAGATCATGTAATCAGTTCTATACCACATGAAAATTGCTTGGCAAAGACATATTAAGGCAACGGGGTACAGAATGGGGGGTTATATGATGTGCATAACTGTTTATTGTCAGGTTCGCTTGCTGGAATCGAACTCGTCAGTAACGAAGGCAACTAGGGTCTCACAATGGCTGATGGTTCCTTCTGCCGGAAGTGTCATGGATATTGCACTCAGTCGTCAGCCATTCAAAACTGATGATGTTGTTTTCCTTGAGTTCATGCCGTGTTCTAGGCACCATTCACCACTGGTAAGCAGCGTAAGAAACGTACTTGTATTTTATACAGTAAGAGGTGAACCGTAAACTGCAAAAACTAGTGTTGCTAAATTGTTATTGGTGTGAAATAATTTCGGGGCAAAAGAAAAAGCTTTGCATGTGTATGTGGATCATAGTGATATGGACATCCCTCTTCTGTCCTCCGTGGAAAAGAACTGATATAAAACAATCCAATTGAATTCTTAGCTTCTTATCTTTCTACCTGTGTCTCTTCAACGAAATGAATGCCTTTGTCATTTAAACACAGTGATGGTGTATATGCAATTATGTATACGTAATTAGCTCCTGTCATGTTTACAGCATCTGGAGAATATTACGGAACATTTATCAAGCTTAGGGAGTATTAATATGACAGACCTGGAGACTGGCAAAGCAGACTGCACACAGAAGGTATCTGTTTTTAATATCTGATGCTGAACTGTGAATCTTGTGATCAGATGGCCACAATGGCCTTAAATCTGACGACCACGTGTATGTCTCCTCCAAGTTCTATTCATGCATATAGTTTCATGCAATACCATAAATTCATTCCATTCATTACCTAATATATGTACACTGCATAATTAGCAGACACTGGCCAGCTATTTTGTTGTCATTAATACAGGGGAGATAAGAACGTGGCAAAAAAATCACTTTCGCGTTTCAATTAATTTGAAGGGAAGTATCATTTGTGAATGAATTTCTGTGTTGATTTCAGGTTAAACGATACAATAATTATGAAACTTGTTAAGTATTTTTACTAAATATACCGGAACAGAAAAAATATTTTTTATACGAACCGGTGTAAAAACCCATTGGTTAGTTACTATACTTGTCATATCTGACTCTGGTGTAAAGCCCCATTCGTTAGCTCAAATGGACACCATCTATTTTTGCAGACTGCAACCATAAGTGAATCCCCAGTTCAAGCTAAACTACAAGTACTCAGTATAAGCCATACTGAAACAAATCTAGAAACCGTCGGCTATATTGGGAAAGATGGTGCTGTGGAGATCAAGCATCAGCTCTATCATGATAACAAATATGGATTTCACAACCGAACATTAACCGTCGGAACTCTGGAGGTATTTACTATATACTTCATGATGCATTTGCTGTGTACTGTGGTGTTTAGTGTAGGCAGTGTAGCTATCTATACACAATTATAACCAACAAGAAAACAACGTTATCACCATCCTCCGCCCTTGGGCACATTAGAACTTTGTTTGTTCATATAATACTGAATATAAAGTATAAAAAGGAGTCCAATAATGCCTAAAAAAATATATAGGCACTTGGACCGCTTCTTGACATCATACAGAATGATTAAATGTGATACATTAAGAAGATATTGACGGACATGTTTCGGGAGAGTGGGTTCGTGTTTAAGCAACAGATTAAATGAGTTGATAAATAGCATACACTGGATGTCCACTGGTGAGACGACCTCCCTCTTCACGATTGATTGATGGCTTGGCTCGTCTGATATAGATAGCTTCTTGAATATTGATTTGATCTATCGTTTTCAAGGCTTCGGACATTAACAAGCCCTTTCAACGATTAGACGCCTGGTTTTCGTGTTGTACTTCTTTTGTCAACAGAAGGCGTTTATCTCCATTTATCATCCAAAATTGGCTCCCACTGGATATATCGCTTGGGTGAGATCAAGCGATATCTACAAGCGATATCTACATTGTAGATATCGCTGCAATGAAATTGCATCACGATGCTCTGCAGATTGTCATGGAAACCAATGACATCACAATCAAATGACATCACTAATGGCTGTGCTTCTGAAGCTGTCAGCAGTACTTTTTACACTTAAGACACTGCTTATTACTGTCTACAAAATGAAAACGTTGGGAGAATGATGTTGGATGATAAATAAAATTTCACGCTTGTGTCTTTAGATATCAATTCTATCAACACTCGTTGATATATTTGATATCAAAAGACACTCGGGTGAGATTCTATATATATGTTATATATCAGTGTGTGCCTGCATCGTCGTCTTTCTATCTGTGCCATTTACATAATATCATGGAAATGTTAATAGTTCCTTGTTCCCGTCCATATATCTTTGAATAATATTTCGATAGCAGCTATATCTCGTCAAAAGTCTTGAACCTGTAAGGATGATAGTAAACTCGACCACTTCGTGTTTGTAGTCTCGATGCTCTACGATTTCCCAGTTTGTTCAAGTAGTGCTGAAAATGGACCCCTACAGCGTCTGTAAACATGTTTTCAAATTTATATTCTGCACAAGCTATTTGTCAATTGCAAAATACTTATGATTAGATATGTCAATAGTACAATCAGCAACACGTTAGAAATATGATTCATCGTGTTTTGCAAAAGAAATAAGCAATTGCTGAAGATAATCAGGGGACAAGAAGAAAATGAAATAGTCGGGGCAATATATTTCATCATATTCTTTCTGGTGCTGATACAGTGGCACCCATTCGTGATCAGGAAGGTGGAAAATGAAACTGTCAGCTTCGACGGCCTTTGCATCCAGCTTTTACAGGAACTGGCGAAACAACTCAATTTCAGGTTCAGTGTATATTATATATTTGTGTGCGTGCGTGTGTGTGCGCGTGCGTGCGCGCGTGCGTGCGTGCGTGTGTACTATAACAAGGTGTAATATTGCTTCTGGGTAATCACTCTAGTACTATAACTCCACCGTGTCAGGTAATACCAAGGTGTACCCTTACTTGTTGAAATGTTGTAACAGGACTATGCTTGTGTTTGTCAGCTACACCCTGGTGGAGCCCAAAGACAGAGAGTGGGGTCGGGTACTGAATGGCAGTTGGACGGGGCTGGTGAAGTTACTTACTCATGGGGTATGTTACAGTCATAACACACAGTAATATTGAGGGTCTGTCAAATGTGCTGGCATAAATTGAGTGCATCTAGCAGCATATATACCCCTTACTCCGAGCACTGGGTGTTTATGGTAGAGAGAAAATGGCGGCAGTTCGTAAGATGTAAGGTGTCAATATTCTTACCAGCATTACCAGTGCCTACCTGGTAAATCAATGCGACAAACCTGTTCTACATCCATAAGAAATATCTGCCCATAACAGATTGTCCGATTCCGACTATATCATGAGCATGTGTTCATGAATCCCTATCAAATAGTCATGATACCAGGTGTTCGCGAAAAGGTGAGCGTATCCTGCCCCACCGGGGTCACCCATCATAAACACATGCAGAGGTTAGTCAATTAGTCACCTGAAACAACACGGGAAGATCAAGTACAAGTCAAAATAGGGACATCTTTTTTGTCACTGATGCGTCAAATCTGGAAATGTACTCCACATATCTACCATGTACGTAGGCATTGGATGTCATAACCTTGATCAAACAATTTCTGAGTAAGAGTTTAATGACGCTTTTTACAATTTTGGGAGAAAGAGCATGCTCGATTGTACGTCAAAAGTTGTGAAATGTGAACACCAAGGGCTGGAGCTGAAGGAATATGGCTCGACATGAAGGGAAGGTTGACTATTGGAAGGTTAAAATCATCCCTGGTGTCATACGTTTTTGTGGTCTTGTTTTGTTACTGCGAATCTGAAATGCATAGATCTGAAAGAGATAAAGCGATCTCACTGGTCTCCTCAATTACGTGCTTAGGGGGATAAATCAGTGGAAGGGAATTGGCTCTATGATGGTTATTGAAGTATATCAGGTCATAGATATACCTGAAACGTTAGTTAAACTTCTTGGCCAAATTACTTTATTTTGACTTTGCCAGTCCAAGCGGTCTTTCTGATTCATATGCATAAAAACAGATCAGCAAAAAAACATTATCTTACATTTTACGTTGATTTCTAAAGGACTACAATAACTGTTGACATGCAGGAATGTAAATGTGCCAATATTATGAAACAATTTAAATGAAACAGACGGGGAGTCCATTTATATAATGTTTAAGGAATAGTCTAGCTGTTTAAATTAGCAATTGTAGCAAACCGACACTTTATATCCGTACAATTAGTATGAAAATAAGATTGCTCTACATGACATACATTTTGTTACCAGTCAAACAGTGGTAATTGAAAGGTTTGCTAGGAATGCGAGTTTTTTTCTGAACAGAGTCCCCCTTTAATGTGCACACTTACAGCTTGTTCATAAGTGAGGAGTAACAGTAGTTGTTTCCGTTCTTCCAGGAAGTTGATTTGGTCGTGGCACCAATGACTATGAGTGACGGCAGATACACAGTCATCGATTTCACAGTGCCCTACTTCTACGTCCACTCAGTACTTATACTCAGCAAACAAGATCCTAATTCCAACCAACGCTTTACACTACTCTCCCTATTCCGCTATGAGGTTCTCATTTGTATCCTCGCCTCCTTCATCTTCTCCACTGTCTTCCTCTTCCTGATAGAAGAAGTGGCACCTGTCCCTTCGTGGACAGAGGACAGACCCACGGATATGCCGACCCGTTATGGGGATATACTCTGGTATCATTTTGGAGCTCTAATGGCGAACGGTAAAGGTTCTATTTGTTTGTTTGTTGTTTAACGTCGCACTCAGGATTATTCCAGCTATATGACGGCGGTCTGTAAATAATCGAGTCTGGACCAAACAATCCAGTGATTGACATCATGAGCATCGATCCATGCAATGGGGATCGATGACATGCATCAACCAAGTCTGCGAGCCTAAACACCCGGTCCCGTTAGTCGCCTCTTACTCGCAATGATACGTTCTTATTATTGCATATTTCATTTGCACAGCGATGTGTTTTTGTGTTATTCTTTTACAGAAGTATGCACTTTCTATCTCCATAAAAGGGTATCTATCCATTCACTGATTTGTATCTGTTTATCCGTCATTTTGGACATTGATAAATAAAGACGACACATTTTGGACATTGATAAATAAAGACGACAAACACATACCATGCAACGCACACCACTTCATGAAACTGAATCACGGGTCTTACATCGCAGACCATGTATGGACGGAGTTAATTGATTTGATTTTGTGGAACATAGATCTGCCTGTTCGAGACCCTGTTGCGTGGTGTCTGTAATACGAATACACACATTTGATAACAAGCATACGTGTGAATGACTGCTTCTTTATACTGTTGTGCTCTTTCCGTGCAGATACTGGCACCTTTATACACATGTGCCTCAATTTTCAATACGCCTTTTACTAATATTCCAGGAGGAGCATATCTTCCCAACACAGTGTCCGGACGTACAATGCTCAGCTGCTGGTGGATGTTCACGGTGATAATGGCGGCCACCTACAGTGGCAACCTCATAGCCTTCCTCACCGACGGACGACAGAAACCTCATTTCTCCAACCTGGCTGAGATGGTGCAGCAGGACACCTACCGGTGGGGGTTTGTGGGAGGAACAGCTCTCATCACTCTCTTTCAGGTCAGTAAGTACATGTGTGAGTTTGGTTTAAGTCACAGGTGTATATTCATATATGCTGTATAACATACACGCACGGCGTTACCGTTACGCGGTGAAATATCTATTCTACACTGGCGGTTCTTAATTGAATCATTATTGTCTCGTACTGATCTGTAAAAGGACCCATGACATGCTATATTACTAATTATGTTTTATCATACACAGTTGAAAGTCTAAGGTTAACCCGGGAATCGGTATGTACAGAACTAGATTGTGAAACAATTACACACATGATCAATGAACAATTTACAAATTCTATTGAAATACACATGATATAAAAGGATCACAATCAAATAAAAATACGTCAAGAAAATGGATGGAAAACATGCGATACAATGACCACACTATGAAGCAACAGCAGTGAACATATTATTACAGGCTCTATTCATAAAGTCATTTCATCCAGGGATCAGTCACACAAAAGGGTAGGAATGTCAATGCTTTCCTATAAGTACCCAGGCAATGATGTGCAAATAGACAGACGCAAGGTAGGTCGTGGTAGGAAGGCAGAAAGGCCTCGAAACGCCATCGTCTTGTACGTTTTATGGGTACAGTCTTCCAGAGGCTTTTTCATCGAACATTGTCGTTATGCTGGAAAAATAGAGCCATGTGAAGCTTCCAGATTCTTCCAGTGTCAACAGCGAAAGGAAAGCGAAAGGAAAGCTGAGTTTCATAATATTCTACTGGCGCTTCAATCAAATAACCACGTTCTTCATATGTAGTTACATGATAGGAAATATATTATTCAATGCCACATAATAACGGAACCTATGGCATGTTTTCAGGAATCCAACATCTCCGTCTATCAGAACATATGGCACCGTGTGGAGGAAAGCATGGCCATCGACCCTGATTGGTTGAGTCAGGATAAGGACGAGCACCTGCGCCGAGTGGTCGACAGCAAGTACGTCTACATTGCAGAGGCATCCACTTTGGAGACGTGGACGGACCCACGACGGTGTAATTTACAGATGTTAAACGACAACTTCTATCACAACAAATTTGCAGTTGGCCTACCCAAACACAGTATATACACACAACTATTTTCCAAACAGTGAGTACAGGATGTTTTGATGCTTTGTTTTGTGATTAATTTTGATCTGGGTCTGGGTGAGTGTAAACGTTTTGCATCAAAGTCCTTATGTTTCAATTTTGTTTAAATGTTTATCAAGACTAATCTAAGCTATAACAGGGTGATGACTAAATGTGATGAACCTACCGTGCTACGTTACCGTGCTATAACATTGTTATTGAATAAGCTGTTGTCTCAGTAAGTGTCCAACCTGAAAAGTTTGGGTGTCCTCAGTTCATGCTCTTTTGCACCCATACCTTCATTTAAATCTTATATCGGCTAAATACAGTCAAAGTCCCACATATATGTGATAATACAGCTTCAAGTTATAACAGGCTATGTCATAGGTAAACATACATATAAATATATACTTTGCATAAGTATTCTTCTGTTGTTTTGTAAATATAATCCCCACCTATTTCGAAAAGAGGTTTTTAAACACATCTACATAAAATTATCATCGAAACTTACTGAGGGCTTAAATATATAAATAAAAGCAACATAATCTCTTTCCACCATCAACAGAAATCTCGATTGTATGTTTCCGGCTGTGTTATGAACATGTGTATAAATGACTATCAAATAGTGACGATACCGGGTGTTCGCAAAAAGGTGGGCCGAACCTGCCCCACCAGTGGCCTGAATCCGTCACCCTTCACCTTAACAGATGTGCATGCTCGTCCAAGAGGAGGATTGCGTTGTATACTTTCTATTCACTTTTGCAGAATATTGAAACTATACGAAAGCGGCCTCCTGCATATGTGGTGGAATCGATGGAAACCAAAACAGTGTGAGCCAGCAAGCAGAAAATCCAGAAAGGTCGACATTGTAGCCTTGCAGAGCGCCTTCTATGCTGCAGGGGTGGGTGTGGCGATGTCACTCGTAGCCCTTGTGAGTGAAATTATTCATAAACGGCGATGTAAACAGAGACAGGAAAGACAGTCCTCTGAGAATGTTACAGAAGAGTCAGTTTGCCCCAATACTTCATCCCCGAAACTATCCTGTGAAGAAATACCTTCAAGCACCTGACGTACAACAGTGTTACACCAAAAGGAACCCAAGGCTTATAAACTGAAACCCCCATCTTGCATAGACATAAAATATAACATAGTTACATTTCTCTTGTCATTATGTTGTATAACTCATTCATTCAGATGAAAGCGCGTATGCAGTTTTTTCTTTGATCAATATGAAAACAAGAACTTGAGAACCATGGAACTATAGATCACCAGATATGGGCTTCAGATATTGTACCCATGTGAAGATTCCTACCCGGGTATGCCAGCAGCGTAACGAGAAGGATCAATCTGAACATGAGATGTAGGTGTTTGGTGGTGGTGGAATGTGTTTTCAGGGGACTAATGTAAAAAGCGTTGATCCTGAAGCCGAAATTCTAGGTTCGATTCCCACATAGGTATTACGTGTGAGGCCATTTCCTAATGAAATGAGAAAAGCCATACCCATATTATATTATGCATAATATGCTGTAAAACACTGGAAAATATGTCACTACAAGCAATTGGCAATTGTACAGGAAAAGACGAAATTTCACTTCATAACGTATTTATGCAATAGAGATGATACAATAAAGCAACAAAGCCCTTTCCATAATCATAAGAAATGTCTGCTAAAGGCAGCGTCCATTGTACGGTTCAAAGTATGTCCTGCATTTATGAATCACAGTTAATAAAGACACGAGGTGTGGCTGAAAGGTCCTGAGTCGAACAAGCTGGACCGCGTTGATGGAGTTGGTTGTTAATTAAGGCCCATTCTGTCTATAAATAGCCTTCTGTTATAAGACAATTGTTTCAACTGGAGACTCCTAATATGACACACCGGAAGTTTCGCCAATATTTCTTAGCTTGACAACAATTTATGAACATGTCACGTGTATCAACATAACAATGCACATAACCAACTAATAAATAAGTGACGTAAAAATGGGCCTCTCTAGATAATATTGTACTCACGATAAACGAAAAATCCAATACACATGTTCCACGTCAAGTTTAATTACTGATTTTCTTTTTTCACAATCAAAACTGAGTTGGTCATTTGATCCACTTGTGTCCCATGTATTATTTGTTCGGTGGCTTTGGATACAATTTGTGTTTTGAAAACAATCTGGCATCACTTCCCGTGTTGTCCACGCCAATTCTTCATCTGCGCCTGCTTCCAAGTCCAAGTATCTAGGCTCTCGTCAAACACTTCGTCTTTTCAGCTCAGTCCAGAAGTATACGTAGCCTGTCTGCAAATCGACGAATTTCTGCAACGTTTTGGGGCAATATTCCCTAACCACGATTGCCTGTGCTGTGTCAGGCATGGTTGAAAAAATCGGTGGGGACACGCATCTTCGCCTTCAACTGGTTCCATGATAAAATCTCTCTGTGACACTGATCCACTAATCCCAAGAATCGGCACTGAATTTGTCAAAGTTTCTATTGAGAGGCGCCATCTTGTTGATTCGAGTTGACAGACGGAATGATGTCATCTTGAATTGGAACTTTCTCCACAATAAAGTCATCATTGTAATATTTGAAATGACTAAAGCCTCCCCTGGTCTCGAAAAACTCTTACTTCAAGTTAAGCGTCACAAGAAAATGTTTTGTTGCTCATATTGAAGACAAGCGAACATGCAACCTCCTTAACAGTTGTGGTAGGCAATAATCCAATTTGGATGCGCGCTTGGGGCGTGGTTCCATGGATTTGTTTTGTTTGTGTGTTTGTTGTTTAACGCCGTACTCAGCCATATTCCAGCTATATGACGGCGGTCTTTATATAATCAATTCCGAACAAGACAATCAAGTGATTGATATCATGAGCATCAATCCACGCAATTGGGATACGAAGACATACATGAACCAGGTTAGCGAGCCTGGCAACCCTATCCCGTTAGTCGCCTCTTTTTTAGTGGAAACAAATGTGTGTGTGTGTGTTTGTGTCTTTTGTGTTTTTTTTGTGATTGTGTGTGCGTGCGTGCGTGCGTGCGTGCGTGCGTGCGTGTACAAGTCAGGACTGATGCCGATTTATAGTGTTTGCCAACTGAGAAACCATGCCGCAGTTTAACATGAATACCCCACTCAGACACAGCATACTGACAACGAGCCAGTCCTCAAAAGAACCAGGTCAACTTTATTTTTCTTCAGCTGTTAAGAAAAGACTGTTTCCGAGGCAACGCGACTTGATCTACGTCATAAATTAACTTATAGACTAGTACTAGGTGTTTTAAACTTTTTGCAAAATGTCAAAAATAACTCACACAATTGTTGGAAGACATTTGTGTTTAATTTAAAAAATATATACATTTTATTTCGTCCGCCCGCTCTCTTGTTCGTTAAGGTTGGAGATGAGAAACACAAAAAATAAGCATGGCCTTAAGCAAACGATACAAGGAATTAAAATCTGGGTCACGGGGACCCGCAAAGTTTCCCGGAGTGACTTGGCACGAGGAGCTTTCGGACAAGTGTGCCTCTTACAAAACACATTGCTTCTGGTCAATGTTTGTTTGGTTGCTTGTTTGCTTGTTGTTTAACACCGCACTCAGCGATATTCCATCTGTATGACGGCGGTCTGTAAATAATCAAGTCTGTACCAGACAATCCAGTGATTGACTTCATAAGCATCGGTCAAAGCAATTGGGATACGATGACATGCATTAACCAAGTCAGCCTGACCACTCGATCCCCTTAATCGACTCTTACGACAAGCAAAGTCGCCTCTCAAGGCAAGCGTGGGTTGCTGAAAACCTTTCACGTGTCCTAATTTACACTGGATGACGCTGCAAATGTCGATTTATACGAATGTCAACCAATGTTAAACTTTGCCAACACAATCCGATATCAACGTTGTGCTCGGTGTACCTTACAAGCGTTGACTTTAACATTGTCTCCAATCGATTATTTTTATACCTAATTTACTCAAATGGGTGCATGTAAGCAACAGTAGAAACAACAATTTGCGATGTTAAGGAGCTGAATATCAATCAACACAGGCCTTCCTCTGCAGCCGAGATGTTAAATCAATGACGTGCACTGATTTAATGTCACAGTCATCATCAGTCATTAGGATTCGCTCAGAGGCACAGCATCGGACACAAGATCCAAGATGTCTTGGATTTGTACCTTGCAGTTGATCACCTTGATGATGTTCACATCCTCGCACGTTTGGACACTGTCTCTGGGTGAGTAATGCTACTATATTTTACAAGTTTGTAGATACTTGAACAGATAAAGTGCATATACAAATAATAAAACGTATCGTAATTACATTTATTCTGAAGTACCATTGTGCATACATACCAATAGGAACGTTCCGACATAAGTATGATACACCGTTTATTCTGATGGACCCTTTCCTCGTAATCAACCTGTAGTTTTAATAATGCCATTTGTACATTTAGTAGACGATTCTCTGCTAGTGTCCGGTGTTTACAGTTTACAGCAAAAAAGGTTGATGATTCAACAAGGTATAATTATGTCATCAGTGTCTTTCTCTTACCAGACATCTTGCTGAACATCAAGGAACATGATAAATGCCCTCATCCTGTTGTGTGCCACAGAAATGTTTCAGTACACAATCAGTTAAATGTGACCAACAGGCTGGTCTCTACTGGGGACCAATTTGCTGCGTCAAAAACAGGTAATATTCGTCCTCTTGTACATAGCAGACGTAGTTCAAACTTACAACAAACTCAGTGGTTTCGTTTCGGGTCCATTACTTGAGTGTCTGGTTTGTTTACAGGCCGTCGTAGCTTTCCATGAGTATTGCTGTGCAGCGTCAGGCAACAAACAAACATATATTGGTGCCACCGATAGGGCAGGACATGCTCACCCTAAACGCGAACACCAGGGCCCACTTGCACAAAGCGATCTTAGCGCTAAGACTATTGTAAGCCTATGTTAAAGTATGGGAGTTACGATCATCATAGCGCTAAGATCGCTTTGTGCAAGTGGGCCCTGTTGTTAACAGAGATCTTCACTGATCCATTCATATTATTTACATATCTGTACTCACACGCAAAAGAAACGCAAGTCGAGTATGCAGTATACATGTTATTTCTTTTCAACAGTAAAGACAAGAAATACTAATAGGGCAAGATTGACAAAAATTTGACTGAAGACAGTTTAATGGATTAAAAGGCAGATGACATAATTGTGTTTTTTTCAAATGTTTAGGGCTTACACAGTTTCGGGTCAATAACCAAAATGTCAGTCAATACCTGGTGTGACCACCATTAGCATTGATCACTGCCATACATCTCCTGTGGATCAGACGATTTGTGAAGGCCCTAGGGATCCTCCTGCACACATCCAGAGCAGCTGTGCGTAGTTCATCGGCAGTTGTAGGGACTGGGCGCACATTGTGCAGACGCCTTTGAACCTCATCCCACAAGTGTTCGATGGGGTTCAGATCAGGGCTGAGGGCTGGCCACGGTAGAACACGGATGTTGTGTTGTTGCAGAAAGGTCATGGTAGCTCTGGCAACATGGGGACGAGCGTTGTCCTGCTGGAAAATGCGTTGTTGACTTTGTGCAAAACGTGGGGTCTGATCACTTGGTCGATATACCGCTGAGCAGTGACGCCGTGACCCCGACCTTGACCAACATTCAGAAAGCACATGGGTCCAAGTCTCGCAATAAGTCCAATCCCTGCCCATATCATGACGCAAGGTCTACTCCATGGATCCCTTTCGACAACGTTTCTGTCAGCGAAACGATCACCTCGACGCCGCCAAATTCTGACTCTTCCGTCTGCATGGGAGACACAAAAGCGACTTTCATCAGACAAGATGACACGCCTCCACTCACGATGACGCCAATTGTGATGACCCTATGCCCACTGAAGTCGTGCTTGTCGATGCCGTGGTTGGAGAACAGGACGATGTGCTGGTCGGCGACATCTGAGGTTGTTGGAACGGAGACGTCGAATCACAGTGTCCCGGCTAATGTGTCGATTATGTGTTGCTATTGGTCTGGCGAGCACTTTCACTTGCAGTTAGGAACGGATGTCGCTGGTGTTGACGGGTAATCTGCCGATCTTGTCGAGGTATGGTGACCCTAGGACGACCGCTCCGAGGAAGGTCATCTGTGGTCTGTGTAGCATAGTATCGTTGAGACGGTAAATTGTGGTTATGTTAACGTTGAAATGAAGGGCAACATCTTAGACAGACTCTCCAGCTTCCAAACGTCCGATATCCTGGTTTCTCAAAATTTGAGTTAGGCGTGGCATTGTTGACCAAGGAGTGGTAGGTCCCACTACAGTTCGTGCATTTTCGATTTCGCAAAAAACGGCAGCATGATAACCACATATTCATTGAAATGGTGCGTTTTGGCGATTCGTTTCTTATGTTGCGTTTTTACCCGGGGCTTCCAAAATGCCACCAAAAATATTGATAACACCATAAGGCTTCACTACATGCTAAAACTCGTATCAATATATGGTTCCGTGTGTGTTACCTATTTGCTTAAACCACTTGCGTTTCTTTTGCGTGTGAGTATATTTTGCCTTTTACGCCCACTGGAATCTATGTCGGCGGGATAATCTCAGGTGTTGAGGTTTAAATTTAGAATCTCGCTAATTGTCTTTAAACAGGTTGACCTTGAGCTAATAATTTCCATCGTTATTTCTTTTCATCCGGTTATTTATTCTGGGACGCGTGGCATTGTGCCTGGTTGACATAGATCAATTATGTTGTTATCTTCAAAGGTTAAAAAAACAAAACAAATGCCATCTGAAGTTTGCTGAGAAGCATATGTGAATTGATGGACTTCCTCATTAATAACATGGGTGTGAAATTTTGGGACAGGATATTTAGGCCAGAAGTAGGCATCCGCAAGGGAGCACCCTTGCTGATCCCTTTCTTTATGCATACGGGTCAAAATTACTTCTCGGATTAGCAAAATCAAGCTTTCCCAAGAAGTTTAACCTATGCTTCAGGAATGTCGATTTTCTTATACTGTTCACCAATTGTCAAATAGCCCATTCTCGTCCACTGATTTACCCACCAGATCTAGAAATACAGCGAAATTGCCTCATGCGGGTCATATTTAGATTTATGTGTAACAAACATTAGTTGACATTCGTTTTATGCTAGATATGTGAAGGATATTACCAAATTTGTCGCATCAATGACGAAAATGAAGTACGAAGTAATTCCCTATTTCCAGGTGTACAATTTAATTGCATTGGCATGTGTTTGTGTCGTATACCACAGTTTGGACAAGATACGCACGTCTTTTCACAAACACGGAGTACTATTTGTAAGTGATCCATAAACTCAGGTGTTTTGTGGAATCGAAAAAAAGCGACAGAACCCTTTTCATAGTCATAGAGAGAAAAACATATTATTTCGTTATCTTTTTATACATTTATGTACCAGTAGTGACCAAGTGACCCTTTTAAGGTACCCATGATTTAGGTGGCTTGATTCCATCTGATTTTCATTTGTTTTATTGAACTAATTACTAACTCATACAACTAGAATGTTAACAGCATTATTTTAAAGGTGAATGATTCTACAAATTAAATACTTGTTATATTGGTACATCAGTACTAGTGGCACAGTTACGAAAATACTGCGTTTCGAGTTTCAGTGAGATGGGTGCATGCGGACGTGGTGGTCCTAGCATCTCTGTCTCCCTGTCAGCGTCACTTCAGTCCCTCCTCCCACAGGGATGACATCAACGTCAGCCTCTGCTCCATGGTCTGTGCTGCCTTCCTATCCACCCATACAAAATATATTCAATCAGTGTTCAACGCCACAAAGCAGTCCTTATTTGACAACCTTGTCAGACCTGATTCGATGGGAGTAGTCTTAAGAGGCATACACACAGTACTCTGTCATATGAAGTGGAAGACGTTCGTTGTCATAACATCATCTTATGACGGTAGGATCTAGGAACTCTCCGTATTATCCAAAATCCTAATGTCAGTAATTAAGAAGGAAGGTCAGAAAATAGTTACCCCTCAAACAAACATTTTTGGCATATACAACTACGAATACAACAATCAATTGTGGATCTACATATAAAAGACATCTACGAATACAATGGTCAATTACAGATATATAATATACGATTTCGGATACAATGTTCAGTTATGAATATCCCTTCAACCAACTTTTGTAGCATATACAACTACGAATACAACAGTAAATTGTAGATAAACAGGTAATATAGAACTTTGGACAAAACAGTCAATTACGGATAAAATATCAACTTTGCATAAAAGTTCATTTTATTGATATCACGAACCAGCAATTGAAGTTCAACAAAGCAAGTGCGATCTTAACTGACATATTTTAACGCTGAATAACGACATTCGGTTTCCGCATACATGACCAATTGCATTGGTTTCTGCATGTTGAGTAAAATATGCTTAGCTATGTTCAATATTTCAACGGACCCGTGAAGATCCGTGGTTGAATAGGTCTTCAGCAACCCATGCTTGCCATAGAAGGCGGCTGATGCATATCATCGATCCCAATTGCGTGGATCGATAGTTATGATGTCAATCACTGGATTGTCTGGTCCAGACTCGATTATTTACAGCCGCCGTCATATAGCTGGAATATTGCTGAGTGCGGCGTTAAACAATAAACAAACAATATTTCAACGAAAGCTAAATCCCTAACATCCGAATTATATTACAATGAAAACATTATACTAACCAAATGACAATTTGCGTCGATCAAAGATATGCTCACCCGCGTGAGTAAATATCGCATCAACAAATCAGTATGGAATAAATAAGCAACAAACAATCAAAACGAGCAAAGAAAGCTATATCACATAACATACTTAGAAAATGGCGTTATTTACAGTTTTGACTACACTGCCTGGAGGTAGACTGGCTTCCTTCAAGTTAGTGCTGTATATGATAGATGATTTCAACAATCCACTTGAAAGTATTGACCTCGCCAGCATATACCAGCTGCTTCTGGAGAAGGACCTCAACCTCCTTGTGATGTGCCACGCCGATTGTATCCAGAAACTCCTCTGTCAGGTAGTGCCTGCAAACTGCCGGCTTCAGTTTCAATAACAATTACATCTCTTTCTACATAGAATGAGTTCATTCCTGGGAAATGTTCACGTTTTGCTAACAGTGCACAATTTATAATAGCTTTACGAGAAAATTGTTTGTACTATAATAATGACATCTACTGCAGGATACGCGTGCATATAACCTGTTCCTGCAAACTGTTGCCAATTTCACAATATACTGTGTTGGTTTGTTCATATTACAACAACAGGCATCGACAAAATGTACTACTGCATGTATTGGAAAAGAATACGTTGTCCATGTAAACTGCGTCAAGCTTCAAAGTGAATTACTTTGCTCATTAGATCATTTGTAAGACAAAAGATTGAATCTTTACGCCTGATGCATTCTATTTGAGTATGGAACATATTCAGGAAGTGCATAAATAAACTTTATACTGCATGAGCCGTCATATAGCTGAGTGCGGCGTTAAACCAAAAACCAACAAACTATTCTGCATGCACATTGCTGTTTATTGTCAGGCTCGCTTGCTGGAATCGAACATGACAATGACAAAGGCAACTGGGGTCTCACAATGGCTGATGGTGCCTTCTACCGGAAGTGTCATGGATATTTCAAACAGTGATGAACCATTCAAAACCGATGATGTTGTTTTCCTTGAGTTCATGTCGTGCTCTGGGTTTTATTCACCACTGGTAAGCAACTATGAGACGTATGCTTATCCCATACAATAAAGGAATCATCATTCGTGTTGTGACCCCTCTTCACAACTGCAAAGAAATAATGTTGCTAAATTGTTATTGCTGTGAAATAATCAAAATTATGTGCATGTGTCTGTCGAGCATCACAATACAAACAGATACATACATTTGTGATGTCTTTTAATGATGTGTTAGCTCCTTTCATATTTACAGAACCTGGAGATTATCAAGAAGCATTTGTCAAGCTCAGAAAGGACAGTTATGACAGACCAGGCGGCTGACGAAACAGAATGGATACAGAAGGTATCGGTTTTCAATATCCGAAGCTGAAGAGTGACTCACATGTTGCCTCGTCTAGTATTTGGGCAGGGTGATTAAATCCCAGCTCACGCTCTAACTATCGACCAGGCGTGTCTATTCAAGTTCATTTAAGTCATATAGTTTAAGGTAATACCTTAGAACTTTATAAACGCCATTCGTCAGCTCATAGGATGTGCACAGTCCGTTAGCTAATCAGTCTAAAACGGCATTCGTTAAATAGAACAGTTATACTGTATGACACGAGGGCAAGACCCCATTGGTTAGATACTATAATTATAGCTGGAATATTGCTGAGTGCGGCGTTAAACGGAAAAGAAAAAAGAAAAAAGAAAACATAATTGTATTTCCTGACTACATCGTCAAACCTTATTCAGAAAAAACTACATCTCTCAGTTGATATCATATGTTTGATTTGATTTCATGGACACAAGTTAGACTTTGCTGAAATGGAGGTAGGTGTCGTTTCTGGATCAGCACTAAAAACTGTTCAACAGTGTTGAATCACACTTGGAACATGTATTATTCAGGGGTTGAAGTGGTGACTTTGGCTATTTAGGAATTCAGATATATTTTCCTGTTTCCATGGCAAGAAGTTTGACTTTGACTACCTCTTTTAAACTAAAATAGGTATTCTTCCTTCAAACTTTGCACACATATGACCAGTTTGTCATCTGGTGCCTTTTGCTGTTTAGGGATTGTTAGAATTTATATTTTTTCCGTTTCCCTGGCAACAAGTTTAATTTTTACTGTTCATGTTGGTGTGTACCTGACATAGAAATACAAAGTTCCGAATCCAAATTCCATGGTATTGTTTTGTTAGCTCAAAACCTACTCTTGTATACTGACAGACAGATCAGATAGAAAGTCTTCATCAAGTGGACTTAACAGGCAAATAATTTGTTCTTTCGAATTTGTATGGGCCGGGGGATTTGTCATCTTCTGATAACTCTTGTTACAGCATGTTGGAGGAATGAGAGATGGTCATAATCAAATCACATCCGGGTTAGTCTTCAGCAACCCGTGTTTGTCGCAAGATGGGTTGATCCGGCTAGCCGACTTGGTTGATGCATGTCATCGTATCCCAATTGCGTAGAAATGTACTTACGATTACAGACCGCCGTCATTTGGTAAAACAAACAAACACTGGATTTTCTTGTCCATCGATTACTTGATTATCTGGTTTGTTCACATGCCGCCGTCGCATGTCAGGAGTACTGGTGTCTGGCGTCAGGCAATAAACACTTACTTTGTTATGCAAATTGTGTGAATAGCGGGTGCTTCTGATTTTCAGTGGTCCATTCATATATGTTTCTGAGCCATTTTGCCCTTTACGCCAAATGGAATCTGTTTCGGCAGATAATCAAGACTGGTTATTTTCCTGCATTGAAGTTTTATACCTAACCAATACAGTTTATTATACTATAACGTTGTAAACCACATTAGTCAGCTGATACAGTAGTATAGTCTGACTACTTTGTAAAACCCCATTCGTTCGCTCAAATGGACATCATCTATTTTTCCAGATTGCAACAGTCAGTGAATCACCCGTTCAAGCTAAACTACAAGTTCTCAGTAAAACCCATACTGGAACAGATGTTGAAACCGTGGGCTATATTGGGAGAGATGAAACAGTGGAGCTCAAGCATCAGCTCTATCACGGTGGTGGCAAATATGGATTTCACAACCGAACATTGATTGTCGGGACTCTGGAGGTATGTAAAATTGTGTGTAGACAGTCCACTTGAAGATCACTTTCCGATAATTGCATTCTGTTTGCCAGTATTTCCTCTCTTGATTTATCATCTGTATATCTGTGTGACGCAACAAAGGCTATTTATCAACTTTTATCTGATAATATTTTGGTGACTGATAAATGTGCTCGATTCAAACATGTGTGTGAAAGGCGCATGAAACTTGCATCACGTGGTGCGACTCTCACGGTCATTTCAGAGTTAAAACGTTCTTTGAAATTGTCTTAACATGGTTGTCAAAGCCTCGAACATTAGCGAACCTTTTCAGCGACTGAGCACCTGGTTGTCGTATTACTTCTCTTTGTAGCAGTGAGACGTTTCGTTTCTTTCCATACACTGTTTTACAGTGCCCGTCACATTCTGCGCTTGTGTACGTATGTTGTGGTACTCGGCAATGCAGTCGGTACTTTTAAATGATGTTTATTCAACTGTGAGAACCATTGTCGTCTATGATCAACAATGAACTTCCTGTTTTTAAGTCGAGATTAAAAATTCGTCGCCTTTCTCTGTGTACCATGGCTTAGATTTCCGATTCCCGAAACGATCTTAGTTAAAATTAATCTTAAATTACGTCCAAAGATTAGATATCTTAAGAATACGTGAGGATATATTTTTGAAACTATCTTAAACGTAGCGTTACCGTAAAAAGCTATGATACCTAGCGTATATATAAACCATCAACGAAAGAGAAAACCAGTCACGATTATCCGCCAAGCAAAAGTGTAAAAAAAAGGCGGGGAGGTTTCCATTGATGTCACGGGGATTTCCAAGCCCCAGGCAATTCCACCAAGTCGTGGTAAAACGGAATTCAACATCTCTCGATTGTTGTCATCATGTGACGTTGTGTAACACGCATTTATCTGAATTACTTTCCGCCTTGTCCTCAGTGTTTTCTACCTGTCTACTTTTTGTTCTTATGAGAAAAGGAATGCGTTGTTCGTAAGCAGCGATCATTTGGCGTAAACTTCGGAATTGACAAGGCCGTAGAAAAGATCAGGAACGCGGATAAAACACGAGCTGTTCTGAATGCATTGCGGCGAATAAAAAATGTTAATCACAACTCTATCTTTTCCGGGTTACAGTCATCCCGTTCACACATCAGCTGTACAACATCAACCTCCTCACAAAAAGAGAATCAAATGTATGATGTTTATCAATTTGGCATCTAAACCCCATGCAGGCTGATGTATCGTACATGTAGTTACATTTATTACATCATGATGAAGATTCTAGCCTTTTGTCCATATCTTTGTAGCTTACGTGTGCCTCGTGCGCACGATTAAAACGCAAGAATTTTTATCAACAATAAGTGTAGTGTTGATCGAATATACTTCAAAAGTTGTGAAATTTAGTCGAACAGTTGTCAAACAGTTGTCAAACAGTTTTGTGGATAATCCTTTTTCACTCTGAATCTCTATGCACAGGTAAGAAAATTACACAGATGTAGCAGTCTCACTGGTCTCCTTTATATTATGTTCAGCTGGCTAAAACGGTGAAGCGGAATTTGCTATTGCTATTGTGTCAGATCATTGTTTTACCTGAATCTAAACTAAAATTTTGACTTTGCCAATCTGAGCAGAAGTTCGGAGCCAAATCAGATCAGCAATAATGGTAGCATAATTGGTGCCCATTGGGATGCCTACTTCTTGCCTTATGTCTCAACCCAAAATTTTACACAGATGTTATCAATGAGGACGTCTAGCATTTCACATATTATTTTCTCAGTAAACCTCCAAAGATAGATATGTAACTGTATATATGGTCACCATGTTTTGTAACAAAAGCCTCTTGGATCAAGGGTGGCCCTGTCGTCTAAAGCGGCACCGCGATTCGCTGTGCAGAGTTGCGTCCCTTGGGCACGCCAGAAATCTAGGCTTGTGGGTTCGAATCCCGGTTCACCCCGATTAGGTTTCTTGGTCTGTCAGCACCATACCCATGCTCATGGGTTTCACAGAAGTGGTAAACGTCTGAGACCTGCATCACTTCGGGCTTCCCTAGAACATTAAGCTGACACGCCATGATATAACTGGAATGGAGTTAAAAGCTGCATTAAACCCAACTCACTCACTCTTGGATCCATAAATGAAGTTTGTCCTTAAGTTTGTCATGTGGCATAGTGGTATAGAAAGTTGAAAGTAAAGTCAAATGTGTTTACAAAATGGAACTTGCAAACAAGCACATCCTTTGAGTTTTTGAGAAGCCACATGGTATTAATTTCACCATATTAATTCCGTTGTATGAAACATGTGACAAGAACATATAATAGATGCTTCAATCGTACATGCATAATTACCAAAACATTTGTATACAGGTCCAGCCTGTAAAGAGCATCCACAAATACATTGTCTTTGCCATTGAGATGCTTGATCTCAAGTTTAATCTTTTGCAAAGACAAACTCATACACTGATTTATGTTCTTCTTTGGAAGAAAAGTAATCAGATTGTAATCAGTGAACATTTGAATAAGATAAGTAGCAGGTCCCAAATACAGCTCGAAATTACAAAGACAACGTGAAGGCTGGGGCCATGATCAATTCATATATGTTTTACCACTATTTCACTTTTTACGCCCAATGGAATCCGTTTCAGAGGATAATCGAAAATGGTTATTCTCTGGCGTTGATGTTTAAAATATTGAGAAGTTACAAACAGGGTGCTTGATGTCGTTTGCACTTTCCTGTAACAATATACAGTAGATCTGATATAAAGAACATGGATATAGAGAACAAACGGATACAACGAACTGTGAAAAAATACCCGACCTATCTCCTGTACAAGTCATTGCTGCAATTACGTGTGTTGTGTTTTGTTTTATCCAAGATTGCGGACGTTTCCGAGTGAAAACGTATTTAACGAACAACGGATATACCGAACTGAATTCTCTGGACCCTTGTAGTTCGTTATATCCATGTTCTACTGTACCACCAACAACAACGTCACTTGCCACCTAAATGGTTTTTTTCTAAAATATATGGAACACTTTACAGTTCCCAAATACACCTAAAAATGCTCTAGACACATCATGAAACCTTTCGAATGATCACTTCGGTCCTGTTTTACAACAACCAAAGGGAAGTGACTCTAAATCACCCTCTGAAGCCGATTGGTCACTACAACACTCAATAGTTTACGAGCACCTAACAATCAATACAATTAAACACAAACCCACAACACTCTCTACTCTATACAAAGAATGTCGGATAGTTAAAGTTGTTTTGTTCGTGTTTTAAGCAATATTGAAATTCAAATTCTGCTCAGCTGTCTCTGGTTAATAACAAAATATAAAAAAATTATTTGATATGCCATAACTCATATGATCATCAACATGTTAGAAATATGGTTCATTATGTTTTATAAAAGTTGAAATTCATCACGGGACAAGAAGAACATGAAATAGTCGGCCAAGGTATTTCATCACAATTCTTTTTGTTTTGATACAGTGGGCGCCATATGTCATCAAAAGAGTGGAGAATGGTTCTGTCAGGTTTGATGGATTTTGCATCCAGCTGGTGCAGGAACTGGCGAAACAACTCAATTTCAGGTTTCAGTGTTCATTATATATTTGCGTGTGTGTGTGTGAGTGCGTGCGCGAGCGTGTGTGTCATAACAAAGTGTGATACTGTTTCTGGTTAAACATACCACTCCTACAATTAAAGAAAACGTATTACTATTACCTTTTGAACGGTTGTGACAGGACTAACCTTCTGTTTGTTAGCTACACCCTGGTGGAGCCCAAAGACAGGGAGTGGAGTCGGGTACTGAACGGCAGTTGGACAGGGCTGGTGAAGTTAATTACTGATAAGGTACGTTACAGTCATAATACGCAGTAAGATTAAGGGTCTTTCCAGTATGCGGGAATAAATTGTGTGCTTACCATTGCTCCTAGCACGCGATGTTTATGATAGAGAAACAGTGTGAGATGTTAGGTCCCACGTTAGATGGGGGAAAATGGTTAGGGAGTACTGTAGACTATATCCGCATGTTTAGGCCAATGATATTGGCATAATAACTACAGTTGTTTTGTTTATTTGTTGGTTAACGCCGCAGTTGATTTGCATGAAAAATGATCAATTAATATGTTGAAACGCTTCTAATGATATATGATGGGGAGTTTGTTTCTTAAGCCACGTTTTAAAAATGTTGATACTTCCAGGAAGCTGATATAATTGTGGCACCGATGTCAATGACTAACAGCAGAGTGACAGTCATCGATTTCACAGTGCCATACTTCTACAGCCACTCAGCTCTTATACTCAGCAAACAAGATCCCAAAACCAACAAATGGATGACACTACTCTCCCCGTTCCGCAATGAGGTTCTCATTTGTATCCTCGTCTCCCTCATCTTCTCTTCGGTCTTCCTCTTCCTGAAAGAAGAAGTGACATCAATCATTCAGTTGACGGACGAGAGACCCACGAATAAGTGGATCCGATATGGAGACATACTCTGGTATCATTTTGGAGCTCTTACGGCGAACGGTAAATCAACATTTCTTGAATGATCGTTTACATGCTTATCTAAGAGGTACTTTTCGAAAATTGGTATCGTCTATTATTATTGTACAAAGTAACAGGCCTTTAACCATTCTATTTTACTTAGTGCATAGTGTCTGCAATGGGGACAAGTTTCTCAGAAACAACTGAAGTTACATGAATGCTAAGAGATACTTGTTAAGACTGAGTTCGAAAATTCATCCCGTCAATTCTTTTTGTACAAAGTTACTGGCCTTGATCTATGACATTTTGCTCCGTGCATATTGTGTGCAATTGGGACAACGTTTCTCAGAAACTACTGAAGTTGCAAGAATGAAAGTTTGCATGCTTATCAAGAGATACGTGTCAAGACTGAGTTCGAAAATTGGTCCCTTACGGTCTTGATCCATGTTAATTTACTTGGTGCATAGTATCTGCAATGGGGCGCGGGAGGGGGGGGGGGGGGGGGGGGGTGATACTAATCACGACTCAGTTATTGTTTCCAGAGTATTGTTTGTGTGTATAAATTTCACATTTAATCATTTTTACAGATGACCTAAAGTGCCCCTAGCGCCTATCTCTTATTTAGGAGATGAACATACTGTACATACCTGTACATTTAACCCCGCTAAATTGAATTTGAAACCGAACGCGCAGCGTGAGGTTTCCAATGTTAAATTTAGCATGGTTAAATCTACAGGTAACCTAGCTCTACATTGAAAACACAGTATGTTTATCTCCATTCTACCATGACTCAATAAAACGCGAACTTTTTGGTGTTAGCAAATATACTGAGTGAAGCGGCATTGATTGAGCCCAGTGTTTTGAGGTGGTTATCAATCTGAATTACGGAATCTCCGAACAAAATATGACGCTGTATATACTCAAGCAGTTTGTTTACACCGTCATACTTCACTCGAACATATGACAGGCATTGGAGGCATACAAGTACGGCAACTTGGTAAGATAACATGAGGTGGGCGTCCCTAAAAAAAACAAAGCAAGCAAAGGCTTTCGGTCTACATCGCGTATCAGCATTATGACCTCATAGCACTCATTGTGACGCAAAAGATATGACGTCACAGTCGTATATAGAAAAGCGCCAAAATTCCAAGCTCTCTGTTGTCTTCAAGACGTTAAAACATTCACTTTGTAGATTTTTATCGTGTTTTCTGCACGAAATGTATTGCCACACATCCTTTGAATATTGTAGTAACCGCATCTGTGCATGTTGTAACCTGTAATTGTAGATATAATTATTTAAATTTTCATACCTACAATGACAAAAAAGTACTATTCTATAAATATTAGCTTCCGCAGTGATGCGGCCGTCAAACCTGCTGTTTCACTCAGAGGGGGACTCTATTTCCTAGTTTATATTCACTACTATATGAACAAACAAAATTCTAAAAATGTGTCCCATGGCAGGGGACAGTGATAACGCCGTTTTCCTATATATTTTAATAATAAAGACCCGGAATATGTAGAGGGCGTCATGGAAAATGATAAATACAAAATTCTTTGGAATAGGCCCGTATTCAGTGAAGATGCAAGAAACAGAAACGTCCGACACTCGCAGACGGAATTTTTATTACATGATGTTGAGCGTTCATCACAATGTTCAATACAAAAGTTTATAAGAACAATATTTATTCAGACAAAATCGTTGGTGAAGGATTTGAATTGAAGACGACTTCAAAATACAACCTAAAACTATGTTTACTTTCCAAGGCGTTATAACGAGGCAATTTCAGTCTCGTTATAAGACGACTATCTTTGTGTACATTTGTTTACGTTGAATACGTTGGTGGGTGAGGTTCAGAAAACTAAAATTGAAACTGCAAAATAATACTGAATTGAAGTTATAAATGCATTGAACACTTGATGAATAAATCAATATTAACTTTGTCATTGAAAAAAATGAGTTACCTTACATTTGTGTTGCTTTATACTTTGGAGACTATAACCATGATCCTGACTGATTGTGAGGGGAACATGTGTGTTTTAGATCATGTGACTTAAAATGAAATTGAATCGTTGATCATCAGATTGCGATTAAGATGTATTCCACTTCTGGCATTCTTGTAGAGAGAACAGATACTCCTTTTTTCCATCTTGTCCAGAACACGTTGGCACGATACTGGATTCTGCGCCATTGCCGACGCATGTACATATCGTCTCGTTGAAACTGTCCAGGAGGAGCTACATATACGTTGGACTTCATCTTTAGCAGATGATTTGGTGACAATGGATCAAGGTCTCCTGGATCACTGGAAGGTGTTGTCAGAGGTCTTGAGTTGATTATCTCTTCAACTTCACACATCAAGGTTCTGAATGACTTGTCATCTATTCTATCACCAAACTCACACAGCATTGGAGCCAGAACCTTTCTAACCATCCTTTCCCAGGCCCCTCCCATGTGACTAGCTGATGGTGGGTTGAAGGGCCAGTCTTTGTTGAGCAGATGTGATTTCACTTGGTTTGGGTCCATTTCCATTTGAGGTTCCTTCAGTTCTCGTGTAGCCCAAATGAAGTTGGTCCCATTATCAGACCACATCTCCTGTACATGTCCTCTTCTGACAACAAAACGACGTATAGCATTGAGAAAGGAGTCTGTGTTGAGAGAGTTTCTATGTGGACAGCTCTGCTCACAGGGCAAGTAAACAACACTCCATAACGTTTGATCTGCTTACTGCCCTCCTTGATGATGACAGGGCCAAAGTAATCAACAACAGTGAATGTGAACAGTGGTGCTGGACTTGTTCTACTGGGCGGTAAGTCGGCCATCTTCTGTTCACATGTTGGAGCGGTTAGTCGACGACATGTCACACACTGATGAAGCACATTTCTGAAAGTTGAGTTGGCACTGACCACCCAGAAAGTTTCTCTTAGCACTGACAACAAATTATTTCTACCCGCATGAATGAGTGTTGTCACATGGTTCTTTCTTGATAAGAGTATGTGGTGCTTCCTGCCATCTGGAACTTGAGCCTTGTTGAGTCTGCCTCCAACTCTGAGTACTCCATCAGTATCTATGAATGGATCCAACTTGAAGAGAGAACTGCTCCTTGATACTCGGCCTCGTTTACCAGATGAGTCTTGAAGAGCATTGATTTCACAACTGAAAATCTTTGACTGAACATACTCAACTACAGCTTTTGAAGCATGCTCAAGGCGTTGTACGATGAACGCGTCTTTCGTTTGGCAGTAATTGACAGGTTTCTCTAACCTGCACTTCATCAGTTCTTGAAGAATGTCCATCACACAACTATAGACTGCAACTGCACGTTTCAATCTGCACCAACTTGAATAGTGATTGATCAGACAGTCCATACCACATTCAAAGTTTTGAGCTTGTGTGACACACAAATTTACAGTCTCTTCACTCTGATCATCACAGTCAGTTGGTAGTTGCTGTATTGTCCATTCCGTTTCAGGAGTTCTGAGAAAAACTGGCCCATTGAACAACTTGTCGTCCTGGAGTAGTTTTACTGTAGCTGTTCCCCTTGAGGTGACATCAGCAGGATTGTCATGTGTATCAATATATTTCTACTGGTCAGGAGAAGAAAAGTCATGAATGAGCCGGACCCGGTTGGCATCAAACACCGGTCATCCCTTCTTACTGTTGATGTAGTGGATAACCATTGTGGAGTCCGTGTAGTATGAGACATTGTCTATTTTCACATCAATTTCTTTAAGGAGTTGTTGTCCAATTCTGATTGACACAGTTGCTGCTGTCAGTTCTAGACGAGGGATAGTGACAGTTTTCACAGAAGATAGTCTTGACTTACCCATCAGGAAGGCAACATGGATGTTCTCACTCTTGTCACACAGTCTGAGATATACTTCACATCCATATCCCAGAGTGCCTGCGTCGGAGAACACATGCAGTTGAGCTGATGTGACTTCTCCAAAGATTAATGGCTTTACATACCGTCAACATTTTCAGCAAGTCAAGTCAAGATAACCATTCCTTCCATTAACATGCAATTTCACTAGGTATCTGATCATCCCAATCTAGGCTTTGGTCAGTGTACAGGTTCTGGAGTATCTTCTTTGCAGGCAGAATTACTGGGGACACAATTCCAAGTGGATCTTACAATGAAAATGAAGACAATGTTGACAGGCTTCCTCCGGTCACTGGTTTATCTGGTAACTCCAAAGAAAATCCAAACATATCAGAGTTCACATACCATCTCATGCCCAGAGCTCGTTCTATTGGTAGTTCATCATAGTCAAGGTCTCTGGACTGAAGCTTTGGAGTGATCATCTGTGGGAATCGACTTCAGTAGATATCTGCTGTTAGAGGTGAACTTGGTTAATCTGAATCCACCATCTGCACAGGCTGATACAAGATCTTGCACCAAATTCACAGCTGTGTCTTCATCCTTTGCAGATTTTAAGCAGTCATCTACGGAGAAATACTTATTTTCTGCTTTGGATGCCGTACATTTCAAGGCAAAGCTGGAAATGATTGGGGATGACACGGTGCTGAAGATATGTACAGCCATTCTGTATTCTTTAAAGTCAGTATCAAGATTACCTTCAGGCCACCAAAGGAATCTCAGATGATCGTGTTGTGAAACTTGAACCTTTACTTGATAAAACGTAGCCTCCACATCACTCATGAAAGCTACTGGTTTAGTCCTGAATCTTGTCAGCGCAGCAAAGAGAGTTCGTTAAATCAGGACCATGGAGTAGTCTATCGTTAAGAGAAGATCCTTCATATCTGACAGTGCAGTCGAATACAACACGAATTTTCTCAGGTTTCTTTGGGTGATAAATACCATGGTGTGGAAGACACCATACGTTATCAGCAGAAACAGAGAGTTCATCATCAGGCACAGGATAGGCAAAACCTTTATCTAGGAGATTGTTGATGAACACACTTCTGTCTCTGTGGTAGGTTTCACTTGCCAGCATCTTGTTTCTCTGCCACTTAACTCTGTCGAGTGCTTGTTGTCTGTTGTTTGGAAAGTAGGCATCAGGATTGCGGAACGTTAGTGGCAGCTGATAGTGACCATTGATGAACGCAATGCTTCAGCTATATCCATAAATAGCTTGTCTTCTCTGGAACAGCCACGTTGACCAGGAAGATCACCAATGTCTTGTTCGCTGACGTCCTTCTCCAGGAGTGTGACTGCAGTGTCGGGTGTTAAACATTCTTTTACAGCAGTTGATTCAGTGAAGATCACTCTTTTGCAGCAACGAGAGTTCTGAACCTGATCATATTTCACATGTAGAGGCCCACAGCAAAGGGATCGTTGACACCTGAAGGGATCACTTCTTGTGGTTCCAGTGCTTGAGGACAATTGCTTCCAATTAACAGTCCAACTTCAAGATCGGGACACACTCTTGGAATCTTGTTTGCCATGTCACGAAGATGAAGCCATTTCTTCAAGCATTCTGGGTATCAGGAATTTGATTATGGTTGACAGGGACATCATTTTTCACAAATGTCTTTGGAAGAGGAACAGGATTAGCACAATCAATGTTCATAACCACAAGACCAGTCACCACTGAGGTTGGCACAATGTCAATACCATGCATCGTGCAAAGCTTTAAAGTTGTCTGTGTTAATGGAGCACCAAGCTGACACTGACAATCTTCAGGCATGAAACACCCTGAGCTCCCATTAATCAGGAGAGCATATGTCTTTATGTTCACAACACTGTCTTCAAGATGCACTGTAACTGGAAGAATTGACTGGGGAACCGTTTCCATGGAATTTGATGTTGCTGCACTACTTGACGTGGTTACGCCATCGCTTGACCTTGATACTTGTTTTTACTTGAGTGTCTGCAGTGTTGAATTCATGGTGAAGTTGTCATCATGAAGTGAAGGTGGATGATGCTTTTGCATTTCAGACGTATCCAGGCCAACGAACCTGATCTTTTCCTTTTTTTATAAATCCAATGAAATCATTTATATTATTGAATTTTCTCTCCCTTTGACACCAGTGTGATTGACAAGATTCATGAAAAACATGGCAAATATGCGGACCTCGCTTTCCAAATGTCACGCTTGCAACCCAAGTACCAAGTTGTCCGACTCCCCATTGTTCTCGGTGCCTTAGGTTTGGTACCTCCCAATATGTTGACTGACATTGGGAGAGTACCAGGGTTTGCAACCACGAATACAGCCTGGGAGAAGTCCAATTCGCTGTCTGGGCTGCGTGTAGAGGGGGCAAGGACCCTGAGCTGATGATGAGCCTAACCAGCCTGACTGTGCCAGGATCACCCAAACCCTCTTCACAAATATTAATCACCACCAAGCGGTGTTACTTTTAGCATGCAAACAAGAACAAAAAATGAGATGCATCCCATAATGGTCTGTTTGTGCCTAAGCCGTCAAAAGTAAGGAGATATCCACGCTACGAATGTCCCAGAATGTCCTGGGATGTTCTAAACCCATTTCAGACATTGTCCATATACTAGTAATCAAATCCATACATTGTTTGCTTGTACCAACGCCATCAAACGTAAACAACTGCTTTCGAGACATCACAACATGTGTTCCAGTGTGTTCTTAACCAATGTTTGACTTCGACCATGTTCGAATCCTCAAATGGTTTACTTGTACCAACGCCGTCCAATGTAGGCATCACTTGCGGGGCATCGTCGCTACGACATTTGCATGTGCCTGGGTGTCCAATCCTGTTCTAAACCCATTTCTGAACTTGAATCCTCATGTTAGATTAATATCATGAGCATCGATCCATGCAATCGGGATTGATGACATGCAGTAAGCAAGTCAGTGAGCCTGACCAACTGATCCCGTTTGTCACCTCTAACAACAAGCATAGTCGCCTTTTATGGCAAGTATGTGTTGCTGAAGACCATTTCTAACCCTCATCTTCAAGGGTAGCTGACAGTAAAAGGGAGATAATCCTAGATGTAATGAGCGCTTCATTCAGTATCATATACTCAAATGGACTTTTTTCCCCTAAACTCAAATATTACCACTAAGCAGTGTTACTTTTAGCATGCAACCAAGAACTGAAAATGAGGTACATATGGCACACTAACTTCATGTAAAACCTTCAACAGTTTCTGTGGAGAACCTTACAAGATGATCAAAATCTAAAATGGCCGCAACTTAAAAAAATATATAAAATCAGCTATTACAGTTTGTTGTGTTGTGTATGGAGACAGTTCTCTGAAGAAGTAGAAGAATTTCATGCAATGGATTCAGAGGAGATATGATTTGAAGACAGGTATCCCCAAAAATACTGTGAAAACCTTGAATCCAATATGGCTGCCAAACCACGTGAACAATGCCAAAGTCAAAGAACAAAACATGTCAAGCAACTAAAGCAGCGGACACATGCAAGGTTTGAAAGTAATCGGACAAGCGGTTACGGAGCAATAGGGCGAAATACATCTTTAAAAAATACTTGTTTTTCAGTTACCTGCGCTTGGCCATTGGGCCTACGGCCTTGGGATCTACATACACATACAAAATTTGAACAAAATCGAGCCCTTGGATATTTTGATAGCTCTGGTACAAAAATCAGCGGAATAATAAATAATAATAGATCAAACGATTACAATAGGACTCTTGCCTTTTAGGCAGGGAGCTCTAATGAGACTGTCCAACACATTGTCAGTGGATGCCCCGCTTTGGCACAAACACAGTATCTTATGCGACATGATGGAATAGCTCGATCCTTTTATTACCATATTTGCAATGCTTGTGGTTTTGAAACAGAGGTCCATCCATGGTACGACCCGGAATATGCCACAATCCCCTTATCCATCTTTGCTTCGTTTATTTATTTTAATCGACATTCTTATAGCAACAGACACTAGCACAAACAAATACTAGTATCTATCGGTGTTCTATAAACCTTCTATTTCCAGGGGGAGCATATCTTCCCAACACAGTGTCCGGACGAACAATGCTCAGCTGCTGGTGGATGTTCACGGTGATAATGGCGGCTGCCTACAGTGGTAACCTCACAGCATTCCTCACCGACGAACGACAGAAACCTCCCTTCTCCAACCTGGCTGAGATGGTGCAGCAGGACACATACCGATGGGGCTTTGTAGGAGGATCAGCTCTCATCGCTCTCTTTCAGGTCAGTAAGTACATCGGTGAGTTTGGTTTTAGTCACAGGTGTATATTCATATATGCTGCATAACATACACTGCACAACCTGACAAGGGTGGTGCTGCAGGACACATGCAAGTGGGGGTTTGTGGGAGGATCATCACTGGTCACTCTCTATCAGGTCAGTATGTGCATAACATATGCGCATTAGATTTAGCATAAATTCTGACATGACACTGAAGATTGCTTGATTCTGATTTGTTAAAAGTTGTTTCCTTTTCCTACTTATACCTTTGTAAATTGAGCCTTTTAACAAAGACCGTGCATATGGAAACCTCCATCTAGTTACAACCTACGCATCAATGCATATAACACTGGCTGTTGATAACCCAGTAGAATATTGTACACATTTAATACCATAACAACCTATGAAACCTGGTGAACACACACAATGAAGTATACACACACTACCCACTGTGCCACATAATCACCAGTCATAAAATGAGCAGTCTCTCTGGTGTTGTCATCTGCGAGTTTCCATTTGCAATGGTTTTAGCAATAGGCTCATTTCCACCATCAGGTTGATGTTTTGTGTTTTCCCCATCTATATTTAGTGACGTGAGCATTCACCAAGTGTATGGAGTTCAGCGCAATAAAATGAACTTGTAAGAGGCGACAAACGGGAACGGGTTGTCAGAATCGCTGACTTGGTTGACGCGTATCATCATATCCTGCGTAGATCGATACTTATAAAGTCAATCCTTGGGTTGACAGACGGCCGTCATATAACTCAAATATTGCTGAGTGCAGCGTTAAACAACAGACACTCAAAACAAACATAAAAAATGTGCTTATTATTATTATTTTACAAGTCTTTGAAAAGCATTTAGAAGTGATACACACGAGGAAGAGAATTTATGGATGTCAACTTCTTTACTATGAGGAACACAACGTTTCGGAGTATATGCTTACTCCTTCATCAGGTGAATGATGAAGAAGCCAGAGAAAAAGGGGGAAACTTATCACAGAAAGCCAAGAGATAATTGGCGCTAACAGGTGATTAGCAATAGACAATAGAAGCCAATACTTTACAGCTTTACAGTAATTAGAGCCAATTGTTATGGACAACTGGAAGCCAGGACGATTTTATTACTGATTGGTAATTGGCAATGGAACAATGGGCAAGCGGGAGGGCGGGGTTAATTAGCACTGATAGGTAAAAGAGTAGAAATAGCAAAGGATCAAATGGAAGCTAGAGCTTCCCTGGTCATGGTTCATGGCTGGCTGGAGTAAATGGCTTCTTGTAGTTTTCTGAGGGTTTCGCCGATGTACTGGTGGCCACAGTTGCAGGGGATCTGGTATATACATCATCGGGGTTTGACACTTTGTTGTCTCTCTGCCATTGGCTTGGAGATGGGTCTAGATGGACATCCATAAATTCTCTCCCCTTGTTATTTTACAGACTAAATAAAATAAGTAAATGCAGCAAAGAGGGTCTGCGTGATCCTAACACAGTCAGGCTGTTTATGGTCATCAGCAGCCCAGACAGCGAATGGGACTTCTCCCAAGAAGCACTGCCTAGCCGAAAAAATCAAGAACTTTTAAGAGAACACTATATCCTTCTGAATTACCCCGATTTTCGCAAGGGCTGTATTCCTGGCAAAAAAGCTGGGAACTCTCCCAATGTCAGTCAACAGATTGGGAGGGACCAAACCTAATGCACCAAGAACAATGGGGGGTCTGACAACGTTGTACTTGGGATGTAAGCATGACATTTCGAAAGTGAGGTCCTCATATTTGCCAAATCTTCCCTGAATCTCGTCAGTCATATTAATGACAAAAGGGACATGTATCATTGGATTTATCAAAAAGGTCAAAATCAGGTCTGTTGGCACTGAAAGGTCTGGGGCTACATAGGCCCCCATTTTAAAGAATTTTATATACTGAACAACAAAAGTTCCTGTGACATTGAATAAGATTTAATGCAAAGTTATGTTTTTTACCAAATCTGAAACAATTTCGGTTTGCAACAGATAAAAGACTCCTGTTAGTGTTAAATTTGCCATACTGACTTCAGAAAATGCGTGATTTCATAAAAAAAACATGAATATGCCCAAATGTCAATTTACAAATCAATAGCGGGTGTGTCCACCTCTGGTTTCGATGCAAGCAACACATCTTTGTTTTATGGAATGGACCAGGCGTCGCACAAAGTCCTCTGGGATATCTGTCCATATCTGCTGGAGCATGTTTCGAAATTCCTGGAGTGTCTGTGGAACACGTGGTTGACGTCGAAGGCGCCGATCCATCTCATCCCACATGTGCTCGATTGGTGAGAGATAGGGGAGCGAGCCGACCAGGGGATGACATTCATTCATTGTTTTGTTGAAGAGAATCCTGGACAAGTCGAGCAACATGAGGCCGGGCGTTGTCATATTGAATGGTAATGCCTGGGCCATGACGACGCAAAAACGGTAGAACAACAGGGCCGATGATCTCGTCGCGGTAGCGCTGTCCATTGAGATTTCCCTCTACCACTATCAAACGGTCCTCTGCCTTGCTGTAATCCCACCCCATACCATAACGCTGCCGCCCCCGAACCGATCTTCTTCCATGAGACAATGATTGACGTAACATTCACCTCGACGTCGGTACACTCGAATCTGTCCATCGCTGTAGCTGAGGTGAATACGAGACTCGTCAATGAATAGAACTTGTCTCTACTGCATAGCCGTCCAGCGTAGACGCTGTCTGCACCACTGTAGACGTGCCTGACGGTGGTTTCATGTCAAAATGGGACGTCTGGTGGGTCTTTCGGCGACAATCCCTGCACATATCTGAGGCGGCGACGTACAGTTTATGAAGATATTCGTCAAAGGCCAGGGATGCTTCTTGCAGTCACTGTTGCTGGCTTGAATCGATTTCGTAGGTGTGCTGTTCGAATCAAGTTGTCTTGTTGATTATTGGTTACGCATGGCCTGCCACTCTGAGGATGGTCTCTGACTGCATTCGTCTGTTGCCAACGTTGCCATAAACACCAGATGGTGTTTCTGAGGACATTAAATTGTCTTGCACCATCACGTTGACTCGATCCTGCTTCAGGCATACCAATGGCTCGCAGACGCTCATTTTCGGACAGGTATGGCATTTCGTATTGTTGAATAATTGCATAATTTTGTTGTTTTTCTGAGTGGTTGTTGTCAGCACGATGCTAAACAATGCATATGGAATCCCGTTAACGCACATGTTTTTATACCCATTCTTGGGTAGTGAAATGCATGGGGCTTGCATGAAAGTCAACTTTTGCAAGGAATGCATGCTTTTCTGTAGCGGTTGCGATTTGTGACTTGATCTCATACATGTACTACAAAATTGAAAACCAAACTTTACTTGTTTGATAAATACACTAAAATATTGGTGTCACAGGAACTTTTGTTGTTGAGTATATTTATCATTTCCCATTACGCCCCATATTCCACTGGTCACAACGATTAGGTTTCGAGGTTTGTCAACACCATACACGTGCTCGTGTGTTTCACCAAAGTGGTAAACGTCTAATACCTGCCTCACTTCGGGCTTTCCTGCCACATTAAGCTGACACTCCATGATATAACTGGAATACTGTTCAAAGCGGAGTTGAACACAACTCACTCACTTACTCTACGTATTCCATGTTGTACCATGGATGGTAAAATCTGTGTTAAACCATAAGCAGCATAGTGAAGACAGTAATACAAATATCGAGCCATGCCCCTATTTCGCTTCAGTTACTGTGTTTACGCCAAGTGGGAAGTGACTGTTCCTGAGCAGCAAGCAGATGTCCTTCTGTTTCACTTCTCAGGCTACCTACAATTGCTGGCGATCTATAGCCGAAATCGGTCGATCTGTTAAAGATTCTTGAAACGTTGTATTATCAATTTTCTTATAATGATATATACAGAACCTATGGCCTGTTTTCAGGAATCCAACATATCCGTCTATCAGAAGCTGTGGCATCGTGTGGAGGAAAGCATGGCCAACGACCCTGATTGGTTGAGTCAGGATGGCGAAGAACACATGCGCCGAGTGATCGAGAGCAAATACGTCTACATTTCAGACACTACTACTTTGGAGAGCTGGGACGACCAACGGCGATGTAATTTACAAATGTTAGATGACAACTTCCTTTTCAGCAAATATGCAGTTGGCCTATCCAAAAACAGTACATACACACAGCTCTTTTCCAAACAGTGAGTACTGGATGTTTTGATTCATATATTTAGGTGTGGGTGAGTGGGTGGTAGATATTTTGCATTAACATTGTCATGACTCGGAATTTATTAAATGTATATTAAGATAAATCTTAGTCATAACGGGGTTCGAAATACTTCAACTACTCAACAAGTGTCCCACTTGAATACTACCTGTGGCCTGCACTCCCATATACATTTAAACCTCTTATTTGCTGAATACAGTCAATAATGTAAGGCCTCCACACATAAATCACATTGTATATATCTTTGCATCATATACTAGTATGTCCCAAATATATGTACATATTTGGAACATCATTACGTTATTTTGTAATTATGATTCCCATCTATTTAAATAAAGAAAAGCTTATTCAAATGTGCATTAAATTCCCGTTTGCGGATATCAGAAAGAAAAACAGTTTGATGGCATAATTACATAATAACAAAAGCGACAAAACCCTTACAATATTCACAAGACACATCTGCCAAAAGCAGAGTCGACTGCACACCTTTAACCAAATCACGACAATGCGTCCATGAAAAGGTAAGCCCCATCGGTGACACACTGCAGCTCCCACAACCAGAAGAAACATGGGAACACATGGCACAGGTTGAAATTGGGAAACGCATTGGACATAACGACTTGGAAATGTCATCCTTTGTACAATCCTTTTGAAAGCTTCACTGAGGCCTTAAATGTTGTCACACAGCTTTTAAGCAAGAGTGTATGACGATCTTTGAAATCTTTGCAGAAAGAGCATGCACGATTGTAACTAAACAAATAGACACCAAAGGCTGGAGTTATTCGAATATTGCGCGACACAAAGGGAAATGTGACCATAGGAAAGTTGAAGTCAATATATTTTCATATAGACTTGTTAAGAGTGTTTTGTCAATCTGGATCTTTATGCACAGATCTAAATATGAAACCGCGGTCTCACTGGTCTCCTTTATTTCTACTTCAGGTGGGTAAATCAATTGAAGGGAATTGGTTTTTTGACGAGTATTGAATGATATTAGATCATCTCTATACCTGAAGCCTAAGTTACAGTTCTTGTCAAATTACCTAGTTTTGACTTTGCCAAACCATGCAGCTATTCCGATTCATGCGCATAAAGAAACAGATAAGATAGATCTAGTATTCTGTTGCCCGTGTGGCGAGGAGGATAAGGTTGTATCCTTTCTGTTCACTTTGCAGAATACTGAAAATGTATGAAAGCGGCTTACTGAATGTGTGGTGGAATCAGTGGCAACCCAACCATCAGTGTGAAAGCAGAAAATCCAAAAGGGTCGACATGTTAGCCTTGCAGAGTGCTTTCTATGGTGCAGGGGTGGGTGTGGCTTTTGCACTCGCTGTCCTTGTGTGTGAAATTATCAATAAACGAAGATGTAAACAAAGACGGGGAAGACACTCTGAGACTGTTGGAGAAGAGTCTGTGTGATGGATATAACATGTGGCCCCAGGAGGACATACTGGCGACTTAGCCTATGTAAGCTAATCTTGATCATATCGGTAGAAATTCAAAGGTTTCAAGTATTAAATAGTTACAGTGCCCTGGTTGTTTGTGTTTTGTATGACTAAATCATTCAGATGGTCATGTAAGACGTTTAAAAAAAGAGTTTTGTTCTGTGATTAAAATGTACTACATATCTCTATTCTATCCTGAAAAATACTTTAGGTATATAGACATGTGAAGGTCCGGGGTCTTCAGGAACCCACGCTTGCCGTAAAAGGCGACTAACATGATCGGGTGGTCAAGTTCGCTGACTTGGTTGATAAATACCGTATCCCAATTGCGTTGATCGATGCTCATGGTGTCAATCACTGGACAGTCTGCTCCAGACACGATTATTTACTGAACGCCGTCATATAGCTGGAATATTGCTGAGTGTGGCATTAAACAACAAACAACCAATCAACCAAACTCTTTGATCAAACAATTGATGTAATTATGCTTACATATAATGGTTATGTTATCTGAGGCCTTGTCAGTGGTAACAACTACAAACCTTTTACGTTGGGCAGTCAGACATTGAATGACTCGCTGGATGGGACAGAACTGTTTTATAGTTCAATTCTCTTCGGGTGGCTTCGGCCGAATAGTAGTCCACTTTCGGTGGAGGTTTCAAAATGCCAATTTCTGAGCACTTGTTTTACAACCGGATCGCCGTGCTGGGGTGTTTGGTCTCTGTAACCCTGAATCAAAATCCAACTTTGAAACTTTCAAGAGCTATTTGATGATAGAATTTGCGCATCGTTTGACTTTAAAAGTAGAGGAGGCTTATCATTCACTTGCAAAATCAAATTAGGAAGAGCCTTGTGCTCAACGTTTCAATGATGTTCTGTACTCAAAATCTGTTAGGGACCATTCACAAGTCATTGTTTATAAGCAAGCTTGAGTCTCAGAACAATTTTGATAATTCTGCAGCTTTGCGTATTAGGTGTTCATTTTTCAAAAGACTAGTCAAGGGGGTACATATTGTAGTGTTATGTCACAGTCCTTCGGGTTATGTCTTGCGGCCAGTTCCTGAAGAAGTATCAATGATAAGAGAAAGTGTTTCCAGTGTGAAAAGCGAGGTAACATAGTACGATTCTGTTGTAAGAGAGTGAAGGTTGTTCAACCTTCTGCTCCCCCATTCAATCCAGTTTAGCGGATTCTTACAAAAGTTTGCACATCGGTTTTTCGATTCATACCTTAATGAACCGAAAGTAATACACATTCAGTGCTTATAACTAAATTCGACAACAAAAAACACGTTTTATCTACGATAGTTTAACCAAAAACAGTTGTATATATCAAAGCAGACAAAAATTACGAGATTGATAAACATTCAAGGTGTAGGAATACATACTGTGGCGTGACATTAATCAGATGATTGTTTAATGCACTTAACTTGACACGCCTACAAAGTCAACAGCCAATTAACGGAGAATAAGATCATAACAATGTTCATAGGACATGTCAATCAAGGCAAGAGGTGAGAAGAACTGCATCAGTCAGAGTGCAACGAAACTGAACAAATATGTCCAGGTTGGTTGGTTTGTTGTTCAACGTCGCACCCAGCAATATCCCAGCTATATGACGGCGGTCTGTAAATAGTCGAGTCTGGACCAGACAATCCAGTGATTAATATCATGAGCATCGATCCACGCAATTGGGCTCGATGACATGCATCAGCCAAGTCAGCGAGCCTGACCACCCGATCCTGTTAGACGCCTCTCACAAGTACACTTTACGAAGACAAGGACTCTCTCTTACGGCAAGCATGGGTTGCTAAAGACCCATTCTATCCTGGATCTTCACGGTCCTGGAGAAGGCGGCTGTTTTAAATGACATGGTCAGTTTCCGCCAGATTCAAACATTTGTTCCCTGAGAATGGGAAGACACAGTTGGAAACATGCTAGTTAGAAATGAAACCCGAAGACATGAAAGTTGTGGAACCGAGGCGAGCTGGAAAAAACAGGCGGGCGAGACTGCACGTTTGCTGTTTCATTACTTCTCGGCCTTCGGTCTCAAAGGGTTGGACAATGAATAGGCATGAGTTTCGCTAAATGTTCTGTGCATGAAGATACACGTGAGCAGAGGGGAATTATCCCTCGACTGTGATATTGGGATTCCCCGACATTACGGTGCAATAAAAGTAGTTCGCCTCGAGGGGCGTGGCTTAATTGTTTACATTCATTGGAAAATGAATGCAATAACACGTGACCAAGTCAGCTAATGAAAATGCAGGAATTTCAATGAACACAACAAAAATTTGATTAGAAAGTTATGTTTTTTTATAAATCGGTAGTGTATGATTATCAACTGAGATTGTTCGTGGCTATGTCCTCGACGGGGGATGAAGAAGCGTAAAATTATTGTCCCCTGAAAGGGCATGTAAGACCACCTCATTCAATGTATGTTTATAGCTACCTCTATTTTAGCTGCAGACTATTTGTTCACTTTGTTCTGGCTAAATTTGCAACAATCGCCAGGAACTGAGGGAAAGGTGTAATGCCTGGTGGAAACCATACAGGTAGCCAAGGTACCATCAGTCCCCTTGGTCCCAAGGGTGGTGACATTACCTTTGTTGCTGGCGCTTACAGCTGCCTGCTCCAATCGACTAGTTTAATTGATTGTTTATTGACAGACTTCATGTTCATCAACTGAAAAAATTGTGGTGCAATGAACAGTCATTACTCTGTAGCCGGGATGCTTAATCAATCACCGGTATGTGCCTTACACATATGTAAATGAGTAGGTACTATACTGTTTTGAGATATCTTTTTTCGACATCACAAATGATGGAGATCTGGAACACAGAACAGGAGACATAACTTAATGCAACACATGACTGCATAATGTAAATTTACATAATCCTCTAGTATGGTACAGTCATAATCAGTTATCAGGATTCGTCCAGACACATAGCCTCGGAAACAGACGTACGATGTCGGGGATTTGTACCTTGCAGTTGATCATCTTAATGATGTACACATCCTCGCACGTTTGGACACTGTGGGTGAGTTTAGTTCATGCTGATACTATATCATACACATACATATATTTTTATTCACAGGTATTGTGTAAATGTGTTGAGTTGGTGAAGTGCATTTACAAATAATAACGTAACGCAATGTCCCAAGCATAGAAACATAGATTTAGGAATGTATTCAGTACAAATATGACACCCTGCAGTTGCGCAATCATTTCATATTAGGATGGTACCCAATGAGTTTTGTTGGACTACTACCACTACTACTGACCCGTGAAGATCCGAGGTAGAATAGGTCTTCAGCAACCCATGTTTACCGTTAATGACGACTATCCTTGTCGCATCCAATCATTTTATTGTTCTAAAACTAGTTTTAAAGTTATAATCTGTGATATCTTGCTAGTTGTTGTACTGTCCTTTGACGACAGTTTTTTTGTATAAGCTATACCTTGTTCAAGTCACGATATGGCTGAAATATTGCCGCTGTGACTTTAAATAATAACTCACTCACTATCCTTGTCGCAAGAGGCAACTAACGGGATCGGGTGGTCAGGCTCGCTGGCTTGGTTGATGCAAGTCAACGTATCCCAATTGCGTGGGTCGATGATCATCTGGATTGTTTGGTCCAGACTTGATTATATAGCTGGAATATTGCGGAGTCGGGGTTAAACAAAGAAACTACTACTAGTAGTAGTAATTATACCATGGATGAACCTTGAACTTATTTCTTATGGAGGATCCACACTAAAAAACAGATTCTCTTTGACGAGTCCTTCTAATTATATCGGCTTGGTAGAAATGACATATCAAATTATGTCACATATAAGGCCAGTGTGTTAACTGTAATCTGCCAACACCATAAATCAGTACGGTAAATTTTGACTTTACAATCTGAAGACATGTCCATTCCTCTTTTGTACTGGATTCCCAAGCTCCTTAAAAATCCGGACAAAGAGAGATATATTGCTGGGTCCAGCAAATGTACCACCAAATCACAGTCTCAAAGACTAATCATAATCCTTAATACAATGAAGGAATGGCTTTCGTAATATTCACAGAAAGTATTTGAAACAAGTGGAAGTAATACCATGTGGATTCTCAAAAAGTCAAAGGATTTGCTTGACATTTTGCAATCTCAGAAAAGAACCAAGTTCAATTCTGTCAAAACATATGATTTTTCTGTCAAAACATATGATTTTTCAACTATGTGCACCATTAACACATATGAAAAACGTAAGGAAAAACTTAATTCCTTGATCCATGGGACTTTTGTTTCAAACCGTGGTGACCACAGATACAGTAACGTAACTATATTCAGGGGTTCAGGACAATTTGTGAAACATAAAAGCAAATGCCATCTGAAGTTTACTGAGAAAACAATGTGGGAAATTATGTAAAATTTTGGGGGAAGACTTTAAGGCAATAAGTAGGCATCCCCAAGGGTACCAATTGTGTTCCCCTTCTTGCGGATCTGTTTCTTTATGCATGTGAATCGGAATTTCCGCTCGGATTGGCAAAGTAAAAACATGAAGTTGAACTTGAGGTTCAGGTATATTGATGATCTGATATCTTTCAGTAACAAAGAAATGGCCAATTCCCTTCCACTTATTTACCCACCTGAACTGGAAATAAGGGAGATCAGTGAGATCGCCTCATCTGTTTCATATTTAGATCTATGCATAAAGATTCAGAGTGACAAAACACTCTCCACAAGACTGTGTGACAAGAGGGATGACTTCAACTTTCCAACAGTCAACTTAACCTTCATGTCGAGCAATATTCCAGCCTTTGCATGTATTTGTGACGGTGCCACTGGTGGGGCAGGATACGCTCAACATTTCGCGAATACCTTGTATCATTACCTATTGATGGTGATTCATAAACACATGCTCATGATGTAGTCGGAATCGTAAAATCGACTCAGCTTTATGCAGAGATATCTATTGGATGTCGAAAAGGGCACTGGTATTGATGAATAAACTTCTTGAGATTTTGCGTCAACATCACCCAG